CCAGGTCCCTGCCAACCCTGCAGATGCCATAAAAGCTCCCTTTCCCTTTGTTTGATTCAGTTTGGGATTTTCTTTCCACAAAAGATGTCTCCCTTATTTTTGAGCATAAAAATTAACAGCCCTGTTCAGGTGCTGTACCTCAGATTCTTCTAATAGCATAAAAATCCACAGGCTAAGTACCTGTGTGAAAACACAAATGGTGTGACTCTACTTTGTGTTCAACCAGAGACATGAAAAATTGTGCTCTATATGTGTAATATGAATTGAATTGCATTCTGCTGTCATGTATAACTAATTAGAATTAAAAAAAACCCATGGGGTTGATAACACAAGTGTCAAGGGCACCATCTTCATTGTGGGGTGTATTCTGCGTGGCCACAGAATTATGATATGGTGAAGGTAAAAATACATGTGCAAATTTGTACCCCAGGAAGACAGGCATCGTGTCTTTGTTTTCTGCTTTACTCCTTAGCACCTGCACAGGCTGGCATGGTGAGCAGCCAGTCAACATCTATTGAAAGAATGAATTGAACTAGGTATTACAAGTTAGGCTCTCAGATGCTAAAAATAGAAGAATTTTTGGAAGAAAGTGACCATTAAGCAGGTGTTATCTATTTGCCAATAAAGACTGCTGATATCCACATTTAGTTATAGAATATGTTGGGCTGACTTTTTCCAGTTATTACTTTTTGAAAAAATCCTGATTCTTCATGGATAGATGTCAGTAGAGGACACTATCAAGTAAGTATTCCTAGAATTGGTTTTTTTAAAATCCTTAGCTATATCATATCTTTAGTGGAGGAAGACCGTTAAAAAACATTTAAAATTACTTGGACACTACCCTGTATAGTAAGATAATGTGATTTATTTCATTTGATTTATCTAACAATGAGGCAGCTAAACAGAGGCTATCCTTTTTATTAATGTTTTATATGGAAATTGAAACATACAAAATGGTCCAGTCCCATGAATTACAGAGTTATTGCCACACATGTTTAACAATTATTGATACTTTGCCAACAGATATCCCTATTTTATATAGATTAGAAAATTATACATGTGGAGGTTAATGGCTATTAGTGGTACCAGGTATTCAAATTAAGGTTTTCAGTGTTGAAGTTCTGTTTCCTTTCTTCCTTACCATGGTAAAATTAAGGAATAAGGTTACATTACTTTTTTTAAATAGATGGACACAATGCTTTTATTTATTTTTTTATGTGGTGCTGAGGATCGAACCCAGTGCCTCACATGTGCTAGGCAATTGCTCTACCACTGAGCTACCGCCCCAGCCCCAACGTTACATTTCATTGAAAATAAATGTGGTTTCCCTAAATAGCTTTACTTAAACATTTTTTATGTCATTCTCCCAATTCCTTAACCTTGAGTCAGTTAATGATATTTAAAATTAACATTGGATTTGAAAAACCAAAAACCAAAACATAAACCTTTCAAAGTGTTAACGACATAGGGATTTGTATACTTGTTAGGAATTCAACTTAATTTTTCTTTTGTTAATTATATATTTAACTATTTCAGAATAATTATTTGGTTAAAAATTGCTTTATTCTTTTCCTATTTTTAGTGTATTTCACTACTTGATTCCCTTTGTTTTTCTGAGATATGTGATTTATAAAGAGTAGCAACTTGAAAGCTTTATAATGTATATATTTTGTATAACTGTCCTTGTACTGTGTTGAGAGTGCTTTTTTTTTTTTTTTTGCAACTTTCCTTGCCTAGGATGTCTGGAGACCATCTTTATTGGTGTATTGGGAAGCTTTGAATAGAAATCAGTGTATATTTCAGGTGTATATTGCAGTATTTTGGTGCTTTTGCCTACCTATTGAGGTCTATCCATTACTTTAGCAGTCATTTGTGAAATAATAGTGACTGTCCTAGTACTTAGATACACACTTTTAAGTTAGTCCTCACAATAACCTTATAAGGTAGATACTGTTTTTACCTTTTTCACAGAAGAAGAAATTAACCAATAAGCATTAGAAGCTAGATGGAACCCAACCTGTACATCTTTAAATCCTAAAGTGGGTTTTTGTTGTTTTGTAGTATTGGGGTCAAAACCAAGGCCCTGCACATGCTACACAAGTGCTCTACCATTGAGCTGTGCCTCCAAGTCCCCCATGCGCTTTTAAATCTTGTGTTATTTTGAGACAAGGTCTTGCTAAGTTGCCCAGGCTGACTTCAGACTTGCAGTCCTCTTGCCTCAGCCTACTGGGTAGTTGGTATAACAGGTGTGCCTCCATGCCTGGATCTTTTTTTTTTGACATAGGGTCTTGTTTTTGCTCAGCCTGTCCTTGGACTCCTGGGCTCAAGTGATTCTTCTGCCTTGACCACCTACAAGTAGCTACAGATATGCACCAATGTGCCCGGCTTAAGTGCTGAGTTCTTAACCAGTATGTTAGATTGCTTCTTTATATTCAAGTATGAGTAGGACAAGGTCTTTGATTTCAAGCTGAATCTCGTGACTCATAATTCTTCAGAGCAGATTGGTGTAGCTCTTATGATGACAGTTGCTTCATAACCAGTGATAAAATTCTAAACTTTAGAGATAAATTTCAATTGGCGTATAGTAGTGAGTCGTTTATTTATTTATTCATTGACTAACTGAGCACACACTATGTACCACTATGTTAATTGCTAGAGATATAATGATGAATAAAACACAATAATACCTAGTTCATTAGTTTACACCACAGTGAGGAAGACTTTAATCATATATGTCTGAGATTATATAATTACAAGCCAGATAAGGAATATGGGTCTATGTAGAGGAACTTAATAGAGACTTTGTGGGTAGGGAAGAGTACTAGGAATTGATGCCTTGGTTGAGTTCTTCAGAAGAGGAGGGAGAGAGTATGAGTACCTTGTAAGAGGGAATGGAAGCTGAACCTTCAGTGTAGCTGGAGTAGAAGGCCAAGGGAAGACCTGACAGAACTTTGGCCTTACAGATTTTGGTCTCTCTTTTTTTAAAATATTTATTTATTTTTTTAGTTGTAGTTGGACCCAATACCTTTTATTCCATTCATTTATTTATTTTTTAATGTGGTGCTGAGGATCGAACCCAGGGCCCCATGCATGCTAGGCAAGTGCTCTACTGCTGAACCACAATCCCAGACCCCAGATTTTGGTCTCTTAAATGGTGGAAAGCTGCAGAAGGGTTTCAGGCCAGTGGCTGACAGCAATGTGTTTTGTTCAATTGCTTGTATATCTGTACAGAGAACTAAGTGATGTTGGGGTGCTGAGAAGATTGTTGGAGACCACTTATAGTAGTATACTTGCTCTAATCCTGGTGAGAGATGCAGATAGTCTGTGCTAGGCTGATGGCAGTGGGGTGGTAAGAAATATATGGATCTGAGAAATATTTAAGAGGTAAATTCAACAGTATCCTGATGGATTGGAAATAAGGATGAGGGAGAAAATAGTGTAGAGGATAACTTGTAGTTTTTAGATCATGGGAACTAGACATATTATGGAACCACTTGCTGTGATGGGGAACACTGGCAGGGGACCACTTGGGGTGAGATCATGAATTTGGTTTATTTGTGTGTGCATGGTATTGGGAATTGAACCCAGAGCCTTAATGCATGCTAGGCAAGGGCTCTACCACTGAGCTACACCCTAAGCCCCATGAATTTGGTTTTATATGTTTGATTTCTGGTGTCTTTAAGGTGTCCTTATTTATTATAGAATAGAAAATTGTGACATATGGAGGTTAAAAGGCAATTAATGGTGCCCAGTATTCAAATTAAAGTTTTTATCTTTGCAGTTCAATGACCTTTCCTTTTCATTATACTGAATACATTTAAGGAGTATGGTTATATATAATTTGGAAAATAGATGAGGTTTCACTAAAGCACTTGAATGTGATTTTTTTTTAAGTAGCAAATGGATATTCACCTCTAGGCTGAAAGAAGTCAGCAGTGGAGAGAAAAAGTCTATAAAAATATTTTTCCTTAAGTTTAATAGTACCCTTGGGAATGACCTTTTAGGAATCTCTGTTATAAATAAACAGACGGATTAGATTTCTAGTATCTCCATTACTGAGTGCAATTTTACATGCCTTCTGAAATTTTTTAAAAGTAATTAATTAGTATTAAAAAAAAAAAAAACTGCCAAGGTAAAGTCTGGATGTGCTCATGACGAAAGTTTTTGAAAGACTGCATGGTTGATGTTTCCAAAAGTGTGTGCTGAGAACTACAAGTATCCCTGAGAAATACTATCAGGTGGTCTCTACCTGAATAAATTTTTTCACATATATTTTCCCAACTTGAAAGGTAAGGTTAATTAAGATTTTTTTGAAGCCCCATCATGTTCTCAAAATTTCATTCTTGAAGAATGGGCATTGAGGGGCTAGGGCTGTAGCTCAGTGGTGGAGAGCTTGCCTAGGACACTCGCCTCAGCACCACATAAAAAGAAACAAAATAAAGGCATTCTGTCTATCTACAGCTACAGTTTTTTTTTTTTTTTTTAAATGGGCATTGATTTGATTGTCTAAGCTAACATGTTAATAGGGAGGAGTTTAGCCAAAGTTTACATAATTTGAGGGCTGTTGTTGATATTGCCTAGCTTTTGCTGGTTTTGTTGTTACTGTCATTGCATTATATCCCATTTTCTAAACAAGGATCAGTGGCTGAAAAATAATGATAAATAGTAATGTACAGTTCAAAATTTTGCCATGAAAGTAAGGTGCACTTAAAGCATAAGTATGTGTCAGGATACATAAATATGTTTTCAAATATACTGACCAAAAAGGAAAGTGAAACAATGAGTATCTGAAAGTCAAATTTCACTCTGTCAATAATGTTGGGAGTCGCCCTGGCTCGGCTCCGAAGACTAACTTCCCCATCCCCCAAGAAGAGCCGTCCAGTGGTGAGCCCTGCTGGCTCACATGATCCTGCCATCCAATGGTGAGCCCTGCTGGCTCACATGATCCTGCCATCCAATGGTGAGCCCTGCTGGCTCACAAGATCCTTACCCACCGATCATAAAGCACCCCAGCCAACTGTCAAACCGTTCAACCATTAAACTGTCATTAACTGTCATACCACCCCTGGCTCTATAAATATGCAGAGCTGTTCCTCAATAAATGGGCATTTTCTCCGACGGCAAACCTTGATCGTTCTTTCATTGGTGCCGAAACCCGGAAGCCTCGCTGCTTGAGGGCCCCTTCTCTCAAGGCTTGCTGTCCTCGTCCACTCTTTCGAGTGCTGCTACTCACACAACACTGGCTCTTCAGTAGGTGAGTTCCCCTATTGGGTATCCAACTTCAGACGGACTACGCAGGGGCTTTGACCATGATCATCCAGCAAACCTCTGACGTCCAATCTGGAGGAGAGAATGCACCCCACCACAACCTTTACGGTCACGGTGGACTCTCTGGAACCTGGTTCATGAGCGGGAGGTCCTGAGGGGTGGAAGAACAGGCACTCTTCTCTCTCACACACTTTCTCTCTCTCTCTTTCTCTCTCTTAACCACCCTTGTCCGTCTCCTGACCTATGGGGGCCTCTTCTTCCCTCCCTGCAGACTCCCCTTTATTAAATTCTGCACACAAGATTGGCCTTACTATCAAAGACAATCAAAGTCAATGGCCCCCAGGAGGATCCCTAGATCCCGAAATTCTCAGATATCTGTTTAACTTCTGTGAGCTCTCGAAAAAGTGGAAGGAGTTCCTCTATGTTGAGGCTTTTTCTCTTCTTCATTCTCACCCTGGCCTATCTGGCAGATGAACACCCTCCCTACCGACCTCCCCTGTCCGTTCCGTCTAGCCCCTCAGGTGCTCCCCCTGACTCGGCTGACACCTTTAGTTCCCCCCAAACTAGGTCCCGCCCCTAGTCCCACAAACCATGGCCCCTTTAAGAGAGGTTGCTGGACCTGAGGGCATTATCCGGGTACATGTCCCATTCTCTATGAATGACCTCATGCAACTCGAGAGAAAGTTGGGCTCATTGACCACAGAAGGGAGTTTCAGTGGGTCCTCCAGGCTTATAGCCTCACTTATGTGTTATTGGCTAATACTCTCCTTCTTGAGGAACGTACCAGAGTCTGGGAACTTGCCAGAGCCCATGAGGATGAAACTCACTGAGTTAATCCCAATCACCCTCCAGGGCCACTTGCTGCCCCAGATCAAACTCCCGACTGGGATTATAATACACAAGCTGGCATACAGAGTAGGGACCGATTCTCCGCATGTATTATTGCTGGGCTCAAAAAAGCGGCATGTAAGGCCGTCAATTTCCAAAAATTACAAGAGACCCCATTGGAATTTCTGGATTGGCTTACAAAAGCCCTTCAGCACTAACCTAGATCCCGAAACCCCAGATGGCCGTCAGGTCCTTATGACATATTTCCTCTTGCAGAGCTACCCTGACATCTGGGCCAAACTAAAACTCGAACATGGCCCTGCCACCCCCCAGACTGAGAAATTTCAGATGCTCGCCCAGGCCCTGCAGGGTGCTTCCTCGGGTCGCCGCCCATCACCGAAACCTCTCCCCCCCCACCCCCACCCCCCGTGCCTGCTTCAAGTGTGGCAAGGAGGGACATTGGGCCAGGGCATGCCCCGCACCATGCACTCTGCGTACTCCATGCCCTAAATGTCAACAACAAGGTCACTGGGGCTCTGACTGTCCTAGATCCCATAGTAGGCCTATGGCCAGGGAACCCTCTGACCTTCTGGGCATGGCAATCGATTAACGGTGCCTTGGGTCCTTGTCCCCGGCCATAACGATCAATAAACAGGAACCCAGGGTGCGGATTCAGGTGGATGGACGCAAGGTTGACTTTCTCCTTGACACCAGGGCTACCTTCTCAGTCCTGACAGAATTCTGGGGGCAAACAGTGCCATCCACCTCTCCTATTGTCAGGGTAATAGGAGGAAAGACCATCTATCCAAGAAAGACTCCCCTATTACTCTGTTCCATAGACAACTTCCCATTCTCTCAGACGTTCCTAGTTATGCCCCAATGTCCAGTTCCTTTGCTCGGCCGAGATATTCTCTCTAAATTCAATACAACAATCAATATACAGGCTCCTGGCATCAGTCAGGCCCCAGAATCTGCCTGTTCATCTTTTCTGGCCCTTTTGGCAGAAGACTAGCCATTCTGCTCCTCTTGTGAGGCTGACATGAAATACCATACTAACCTGGTTGACCCGATTGTATGGGATACCCACACCCCCTCCACTGTTTCCTGCCCACCAGTTAACATTCATCTCAAAGATCCTAACACCTTCCCAAATCAGGCTCCTGTCAACAAAAGCTCTTCTGGGCCTACAACCTATTATTCAGGTCCTTCTTAGCAAGGGGTACCTCCGTCCTGCTCATTCCCCTTACAATACTCCCATACTAGTGGTAAAAAAGCCCAATGGGTCCTACCTACAACTCATCAACCCCTCCGTTAGGCCCATACATCCTTTGGTTCCCAACCCATACACTCTACTGTCTCAGATTCCCCACACTGCCACCCACTTCTCCATCATAGATTTAAAGGATATCTTTTTGCCTTTAACCTGGACTGTCCTTCCTCAGGGATTTCGAGATAGTTGACACCTCTTTGGACAAATCCTGGCCTCCGACCTCCAATCTTTTCACCCCCAGTGCCCCGAATCCACCCTCTTGCAATATGTTGATTATCGTCCGGCAAATCTCTTTGCCCACCTGCGGGGAGGAAAGCACCCCACCACAGCCTTTAAGGCTACGGTGGCCCTCAGGGACTCCTTCCTTGGGCAGATTCGAAAGTCCTAGTCCTCTCACCTTAAGACTTGGCCGCTAGAGAGACACTTACCCTCCCCTTCCTCTCCCCTCTTTCCGGCCCTGGGAGTATCCGGCCTCTCCAGGAGGGGTCCCGAAAAGCCTTGGCCAAGGTCTCCCACGGCTCTGGCTCCGTCCAGGACAAGAGCTTCAACTGTCAGGATTCAGTGATGACCAATCTCTGCAGCTCAAACCTGCCACTTAGGCACTCCTGATTTTTTTGCTCTAGCGGGGACGCCCCTTTTGCCAATAAACCAGTTTCCTCCTTCTCTGCATCCTCTTCCCTCCTCCTTACGTGGGTAATGTGTCTTCTCTGCCAGTCGACTCTCCCCTACAATGCCTCTTGGATCAAATATAGCACCCAGGCCTGGCCCACTTATCCCTTAGACAACCAAAGCAGATGGCCCCTTTTTGGGTCCCTGGATCCCTCCATTCTAAGGGATCTCTTCCAGGCTTTCTTCTTGCTCTGATCCAATCCTGCTCTCTGTACCCCTTGCAAACCTCTACAAATTCTTTTAGCCTGTCCAAAGGGCGCTCAACAGATGACACAGTTCTCCTACTTAATTTCTTGGCCTTAAAGGGATATCAGGCCTCTCCACAAAAGGCTCAAATAGCATGTATCTAGGGTTCTCTATCTCTCAAGGGAAAAAGGCCATTACAGTAGACAGAAAATAGCTTATTGTGTCTATACCTACACCAAAAACCAAAGATGACTCTCCTTCTTGGGTTTGGCTGGGTACTTCAGGGCCTGGATTACTTTTGAATTTCTCCCTCCTCGCCAGGCCGCTATATAATCTAGCCAAGGGCCCCCAAGATGAACCCCCTACCCTCAGCGGTAGGGAAGCCCTTTACAAAAAGACCCTCCTCTGGGCACCCGCACTGCATCTCCCTGACCTCTCCCAACCCTTCACCCTCTATGTACATGAAAAACAGGGACAAAGTCTGGGCGTTCTGGGTCAGGAATATGGCCCCACATTTGCACTAGTGGTCTACTTATCCAAACAGTTCGACCCCACCATCAGGGGCTGGCCCCCATGCCTCAGAGCCCTAGCAGCAGCCCATGACCTCCAGAAAGAAGCACACAAGCTTACCTTTGGCTCCCCACTAACCATCTCATCTCCTCACCATCTAAAGGATTTCCTCACTTACAAGGGGCTACAGTCACTTCCTCCTTCCAGGGTTCTAAACCCTGCCTCCCTCCTCCCATCTTCTCCCTCACAAGATCCCGTCCATAAATGCCTAGAGGTATTAGAGACGATTTTACCCTGCCCTGCCACCATTTCTGAGGGACCCCTGCCCTCTTCAGACCTCGTCTGGTTCTCAGATGGTAGCTCCTTTATACATGAAGGGGTTAAAGTGGAAGGATATGCTGTCGTTTCCCTCTCATCCATCATAGAGGCGAAACCTCTCCCACCCAATACCACCAACCAACAAACTGAACTCATAGCTGCCACAAGGGCATGTGAGCTAGCGGAGGAAAAAACCCTCTGCCTATATACAGATTCCAAATACGTTTTCCATATCCTGATCTCCCACGCAGCCATTTGGAAAAAAAGGGGGGCTACCACCAGAGGGATGGCAGTCATTAATTCCACACTTATTTCTGGTCTACTACGAGCCTCCAGGCTGCCTTCCCAACTGGGAATAATCCATTGCAAGACTCACCAAACTGACTCCTTCCTTACTACTAGGGGGAATCCCAAGGCCTATCAAGCGGCTCGATCAACCGCCCTATAGAGCTTTACCTCCTCTCTGCTACTCTTCATTACCACTGGGGATCGGCCCAAAGATCCCCAACAGCTCTTCCAGTTTCTTCACTCTCTATTCCATTCTAGTCCACAGAGTCTCACTAACTTTCCTTCACTCCTTTTTCACCCTTTCCCCATGCGATAAGACCCTCCTACAACAGATCACTTCTGCTTGTCAGATCTGCCAGAGAACCAATACCAATACTCCATTAAAACCTAAACCTTTCCCTTCTCATCAGGCCCATGGTCATACCCCAGCTGCAGACTGGCAGATTGATTTCACCAACATGCCCCGAGTAAAAAACAAGCCTTTCCCACTTCTAACAAGCAGGCCTCCATGGTAGTTGACTCACATAATCCCCGTTTTGGGATGCCCACTTCTATCCAATCAGACAATGGCCCAGAATTCACCTCACAGGTAACTCAGGGACTGGCTCACATGCTATCACTCCCTTGGCATTTCCATTGCCCTTACCGCCCCCAGGCTTCTGGAAAGGTTGAAAGGACCAATTGGTCCCTTAAAGAGACCCTCACCAAGCTCACCAAGCTCACTGGGTAAAGGTGCTCCCCTTGCTCTCCCCTTGCTTTATTGCACATTAGAAGGCTTCTTTGGCAAGGCTCTAATCTCTCACCTTATGAAGTCATGTATGGCCATCCCCTCGTTCCTCCCAGATTGCCTACAGAACCCCTACCCATCTCCTAAACCTATGACCTGCCCCTCCTCTTCCATCTACGCTCTGAACTCTGGCGCTATCAAGACTGGCTCCTTCCTGACCTCAGTCTCTTTCAAAACCCTACCTCCTTAACACCTGGTCAACTTGTTTACTATTGCCCACCAGGGAAAAGCCCCCTCTAAAACCAAAACGGGAGGGTCCTTCTCAGGTGACTATGTGCACTCCCTTGGCGGTCAAACTCAAGCTATCTAATAACCAACTTACCCCGTGGATTCACATTGCCAGGCTTAAGCCTGGCACTCCTACACCAGAAGAGCCAACGATTGTCACCTGTCATTAAGTACTCTTCTCATCCCCCCCCACAAGATCTCCTCAAGCTCTGCCTCTCCCATGTCTCTGTTCTTAGCCCAATTTCCGTAATGGGTTCTGCTAATGCTCCCCCTCATTTCTGGCCCCTCTTGGGTCCTCTCTTTGCCCTACATTAAAGGCAAGTGACCCTAAGGGCCCCCTCCAGCCAGACCCCCTTCTTTTCCTTACAGACCCCCTACTTGCTTGGATCTGGCCGGTAGTGGGACCGTTGTGTGTTGTCCTTCTGACAAACCACTTAGGTGTCCAGAGCATGGTGACCCCTGAATAAGGGTGATCATAAGAGAGCACTTTACCAGTTGCCTTTTGGGCCTAAGGAGGAACATGTGTGTTTTGTTTACCCTCCTAGTTTTAGAATTAAAAGTATCAGTAGAATTTCAAGTATCAGTATTTAAAGTTGAGGTGTTTCACATAAAACCTGGAGAGATCTGACTGCTCTCAAAGGGAAATATGGTAACAATGGGCCACCGTCCTCCCTTGGCCGCCTTCAAGAAAAGCAAAGAGAGAAGCAAGCTGGTACACCCAGTTAGGAGAAAATTTGAAGAGCAGCCTTAATAGAGAGGGGAGGGAGCTAGATTGTACTAGGAATGAAGAGTGGAATTGAGGGTGTTAGGTGCAGGACAGGATGGTCTTCAGGTCATGCCAAACAAAGTTAGCTGCAGGATGACCTGTCTTCTCAAACCCTCTGTCTGGTTCTTTATCACCTATTTGCTTCAAGCCCAAATGCCCAAGTCCCCACTCAAGGCTGAACACTTAACCCTCCCTTGTGCCAACAAGGCAGCTTGCAGACCCAGAGACCCCATTAGATTTGGGCTCTAAAAACTCCCTGTGCCTGTTCCTTCCGTTTATCATAAAGTTCATTCAGATTCAGGAGGGTAAAATTTCGAATCAAGCTTTTAACCAGCTTCTCCTCAGGAATTACCAACTCCTGGCTACTGATGATACTCCAGTCGAGACCTATGCCGAATGGGGACTGACATCATCATGGATCTGTGGTGGCAAGGAACCTTCGTTGATACGGTCTTCTCTGCCCTCCTGTGGGGGCTTCTTACTTCTCTCCTCTCTTTTTCCCACACCAACCCATCTCAGCAGGAAGCAGCCAGAATGAGTCGATGCCCACTCTCATTTAATAACAAAGAGGGGGGAATGTTGGGAGTCGCCCCCGGCTCCAAAAACTAACTTCCCCATCCCCCAAAAAGAGCCGTCCAATGATGAGCCCTGCTGGCTCACATGATCCTGCCATCCAATGGTGAGCCCTGCTGGCTCACATGATCCTTACCCACCAATCAGAAAGCACCCCAGCCAACTGTCAAAACGTTCAACCATTAACCTGTCATAACTGTCAAACCGCCCTAGGCTCTATAAATATGCAGAGCTGTTCCTCAATAGACAGGCATTTTCTCCGACGGCAAGTCTTGATCATTCTTTCAAGTAACCTATTCCCCAGTATCCTGTGGTTATTTTATTGTGGAACTTTCTCTATCAGTGGCACCCCAAAAGCATATGTGTCATTTTCAAAGAACAGTGGCCTCTATGGTGAACCAGTTTTTTCTATAATAAATATAAAATACCACTTTATAGTATAAAGTTAATTAATTTTGTTACTGAAGGCAGAAATGAGGCCAAGATCTCAAAAACATTAAAATAGAATGTATTCTCTACAGTAAAAAGGGGTTCAAGGCACAATATTAATAAGAAGCTAGTCACAATTTGTTCTGCCAAGAGAAAGCAGAAGACTATTAACATAATTCTTGTATTTAATAGTGCTGGTATGACATGATATTAATAGCAAGCACACAGAAGAGCTCTTCCTATCACATTTGTGTGTTCTGGCATTTTTCTTTATGGTTAGACAGCACCATTAATGCAGAGTGTGAATTGTTTTTGACCTATGTGTGGTGCAAAGGAGGGAAGTGAGCCTGACAGCATTTTATTTTTGTCACCAAGAACTCCATGTTATTGAAGAAGAGAATTAAATTTTAGTTAGCATAATTTTGTAACCTCTGATAGAGATTGGAAAAGTATAGTGAGAACAATGCTCATAGAGTGCCAGTGCTGTGGGCTGCAGGGAGGGTGTTGCTATGCAGGTGAATGGCTTGGTTGGAAGGCCATCCCACTCACCCTCATTCAGAGAACAGTTGGTGGGGAACAGTGGGCCTTCTAACCCTGATTCAGTGTTGAGGGAGATAATAAGTTGATCAAATTATAGGCACCAAGTGTGTTTTCCAGCCTGTCTGTGATGAAGTAGGCTCAGTGTGTGCAACTACTTTTCCACATTAAGATTTCCTGCCTCTCAAGGGAGAAGTGCACACAGGAGTTCTAAACCCATGAGATTTCAGAGAAATTCCTGCACGACACTGATGGCACCATTAAAACCAACTTTTTCTGATTTCAGATGTCTTCAAATAGCATTGCTCACTGGTAGTTCTATCTTGAGTAGCCAGAACTGATCACTCGGGGAAGAAAACAAGATGATTTTTAGTTTTCAGGATAAAATATCAATGTGACAAGATAATCTTTTTGAAATATCAATGCCTTTTTTTTTTTTTTTTTTTTTTTGTTCCTGATATTTCTTTTACCTTTGGCCCTTCTCAGTACCTGCTCAAGCTAGGTATTCTGTGCCCTTGCTTCAGGGAAGGGACATGCTGTGACAGCAGAAAGAGGTGAGAAGAAGTTCATTTTTGTCTTTTTGAGTTTTAAAAGCCTGGGATGTAGTGGGGGAACAGAAGAAACTTGGCCCAGACTGCATAACATAAGGACAGAGCTTTTACTTGATAGAAGAAAAATAATTCCCTGCACTAGTGTAGGGGCAGAGGAAAAGTCAGGAAGATATAGGAGTGACAGAGTGAGCACAGTGGTAGAGTGCTTGCCTCGGCACTTAACACTACATGTAAGGCACTAGGTTCGATCCTCAGCACCACATAAAACACACACTAATTAATTAATTAATTAATTAAAGGTATTGTGTCCAACTACAACTAAAAATTGAAAAAAATCTCTTTATTAATCTTTGTTCATATACTATGCAAACTTCCACAATTTTCTTCTGTTATAGTTAAAGCTTCGTCCTGGGATTTCATAAACTGACTTCCAGACCACTCATGTATAATCGAATCAAGCCTTTATTGAAGCACACCAGTGGCGGCTGACCAGAACATAAAGCTATTCCCCTGATCAGCCCCAAACAATTGCAAGGGCACTCCTATAAGACTGAAAACCGCAAAAGGGATGTTCTGGGGTCTAGCCGATGCAAGCAAGCCAGGTTACAGAAGCTGGAGAGTGCAGTCAAGCTGTGGGAAGCCTAACCAGTCACAGTTAGCCCAGTCACCCCAGGTACAGAAACAGAGCCATGTTACCCTAGTTACAGAAACAATACCCCATTAGGTAGTTCCGTGTTCTTAAAGGTTTCTATAGCAAAAGGAAAAGAACATCTTGCCCCAGTCCTGACCCTTCTACTTGGCATGGTGGTTTTACAGGATGAAGTCATAAAATAAAATGGAGTCACATTTGCTTCTACTATCACACTTCAGGCATATATAATTTAGTGATTATATATAGATTTATATATAAAGAGTTTATTCATTGTTTTACAAATAATATTACACTCTCTTCTGTGCCTTTTTCCTTTCAACTAGTACTCCATGAAAATCTCTAAACTTTTAAGCTTTTATTTGATGCTATTTGTTACAAACTTCTTTTGTAGTTGTTAAAAGTTGAGATGCCATTTTCCTGGGTGAAAGTATCTTTTTTAATTAAAAAATTTTTTTTCTGTATACATTGCTGGGGATTGAACCCAGAGCCTTATGCTTGCTATGTAAGTGCTCTACCACTGAGCTATACACCTAACCTCTAAAAAATATTCTTAATTGTAGTAAAAAACATAAGTTTGTCATTGCAACCTTTTTTTTTCTTTCCCCCAAGAGACACTATCTTTCTAGGCTGGCTCCAAACTCCTGGATGCAAGTGATTCTCTTCCTTCAGCCTCCTGAGTAGCTGACCCTACAGGTGTGCACCACCACACCTGGCAACCATTTCTAAGTGTGCATTTGGATCATGTTCAATATACTCATATTGCTGTGTATCAGATCTCCAGAAATTTTTTATCTTGTAAAATGGAAGCCCTATACCCATAGAATAAGTAACTCTCCATTTTCCCATCCCAAGTTCATGGGCCACATTCTACTTTCTTTCTATCAAGCTTGACTACTTTAGATACCTCACATAAGTGGAATCATACCGTGTTTGTCTTTTGTGATCAACTTGTTTCACTTGGCATAATGTCCTTGAGGTTCACCCATGTTATAGCATGTATCAAAATTTCTTTCCTTTTAAAGGCTGAATTATATTCCATTGTATATGTATATACCATATTTTATCTGCCACTTTTCAGTGAATAGACATTTAGGTTGCTCACACCTCTTGGCGGTGTTTCTAGGTTTTTGTCACAATGTTGATTGCAGTAAACATTCTATACATTTGTCCTTATATTCTTTTATTGCTCTGAGGGTCAGATATGGAGTTACTGGATAAAGGGAGTATATATTTACATTTTATAAACTTTGCAAGATTAAAATATTGAACAATTACTTTTCAAAAATATAGTAGTATCCTGGGACAGTGGCACACACCTGTAATCCCAGTGACTTGGGAGGTTGAGGCATGAGAATTGCACCAAGACCAGCCTCAGCAATTTAGTGAGACCCTGTCTCCAAATAAAATACCAGGAAAATAAAAAGCCAGCAGCAATTTGTATTTGTACCTTTGGTGTTTGAAAGCAACAGAATTTGTCTTTATCTAATCCTTTGGACCATTGTTATCAAGGGGGTTGTCAAAACCTTTCTCTAAGAAAAGCATGCCTCTCTTTGGGGAGGGGGCATGTCTATGATCAAGAAAATAAATGTTTCTCTGTATCTTTACACATAAAAAGCCCCTAATTTCATTTTATATGACTCAAGAAGCCTATTGAATAAGGGGAAAGAGACTAATCTGCATTGCCATTACAGTTCTGTGACTACCTGGCATTTACCCTAAAAAGGTGGGATCAGTTGATATAGGCCTTGTCGACAAACCTGACTTCAGCTATATGGTTTGGGGCAATTAACCACCTCTTAGAACTTCATTCTCTTCACTTATAAAGGGTGTGCGTGTGTTAGCTATTGATATTTTTCAAGTGTGTAGTTGACATTTTTATTACATACCATATTTTATTAAAAGCATTGATCAAAAAAGGTATTTTAAGTAAAACAAAAAATTATCAAAAATAGATGATTCCTGGGAAAGGTATAAACACTTAAGAGTAAGGAAAATAAATGCAGTGGCATTGCATATTAGGTTTATTTATATTATCAATACAGGAAAACTGGGCTGGAGTTGTGGCTTAATGGTAGAGTACTTGCTTAGCACATGTGAGGCACTGGGTTCAATCCTCAGCACCTCATAAAAAAATAAAAGGTATTGTGTTCATCTACAACTAAAAAAAAAGAAGAAATGAACTTTTTAAAAATACAGGAAAACTTATGAATTAACTATGTTCAACTAAAGTTTTTCAAATTTTAAATGTTATCTGTACTCTTACATTTTCTTAATTCTGATTTATTCCTGAATTGTACATCTGCTTCTCAGTCATAAAGACCTTTCCTTATTCCTTTCAACATCTTTATTGCATATAATCCACGTTATATAATTCACCAATTTAAAGTTAAATGTTTTTAGCATAGTCAAAGAGATGTATAGCTATCACAATGAGCTTTTTAGAACATTTTCATTATCTCCTCCAAAACCATTCCCTCCTCAACACTATGCAATCATTATTTGTCTTTTTTCAGTAATGGGGATTGAACTCAGGGTTTCATGCAATGGTGGGTAGGTGCTCTACCACTGAGCTACATCCCCAGCTATCCCCACTCCTTTTTTTTGTTTTGTTTTGTTTTTGTGACAGGGTCTCAGTTCAGACACAGCCTCAAACTTGTGATCTTCCTGCCTCAGCTTCCTGAGTCACTAGGATTACTGGTTTATGCCATCGTTCCTGGTTACTTAGCTCTTTTTAAAAATTCTTCGTTGCTAGGGATGGAACCCAAAGCTTTTTTGAATGTGGTAGGCAAATGCTCTACCACTGAGCTATAACCCCAGCCCTTTAAAATTTTATTTTAAGGCTGGGCATGGTGGCACATGCCTGTAATCCTCAGTGAAGTTGAGACAGGAGGATCACAAGTTCAAAGCCAGCCTCAGCAACATCGAGGCATTAAGCAACTCAGTGAGACCCTGTTTCTAATAAAAATACAAAATTGGGCTGGGGATGTGGCTCAGTGGTTGAGTGCCCCTGAATTCAATCTCCGGTACCAAAAAAAAAAAAAAATTATTTTAAAACAGGGTCTTGTTAAATTGTCCAGCCTTCTTTAAACTTGCCATCCTCTTGCCTCAGTCTTCTGAGTAATTGGGATTACAAGTGTGCCCTACCACACCTGGCACTAATCTACTTTTTGTAACTATAGACTTGTCTATACTGGACATTTCATATAAATGGAATCATGCAATATGTTGTCTGTTTTGACTGGCTTATTTCACCTAGTGTTTTCAAGATTTATCCATGTTCTATTATGTATCAGTAATCCATTCCTTTTTATGTCCAAATATTCCATTATATGGATATACCACATTTTTTTTCTACCCATTTTTCATTTGATGGACATTTGAGTTGTTTTCAGCTTTTAGCTAGTATGAGTAATGTTGTGAACATGCATATACAGGTATTTATGTGAACATCTGTTTTCATTTGAAATTGCTGAGTTTTTGGTAAATCGATACTTAGCCTTTTGAAAAACTGCCAGACTGCTTTCCATAGCGATTAGACCATGAGAGTCCAAATTTCTTTACATCCTCTCCAGCATTTATTTATTATATCTTTTTTGATTATTGATATTCTATTGTGTATGAATCTCACTGTTTGCATTTTCCTGATAGCTAAAGGGGTTGAACATTTTTTCATGTGTTTATTGCCATTGTTATTTGAAGAAATGTCTTGTCAAACCTTTTGCCCATTTTAAAGTTCAGTTTTGATCTTTGAGTTATTGATTGGCTTATTGAGTCTTTTATCATTGATTTATAATCGTTTTTTATTTTAAATATAGACCCCTTACCAGATATACAATTTGCAAGTATTTCCTCCAGGTTTCATTTTTTTCAAAATCAAGTATTTTCAAGTCAAAGAAGGGAAGGAAAACTAAAATGCATTAAGTAACCAGTGTGACCAGATTTATACTTAGCTATAGTGATGTCAAAATGTAGAAATGTTCCTGAATTTCAGGACATTGCTATCTTTGGAGATATGAGATTCATATAATAAAAAAATAGTACATAGCAAATCATACAAAATAGTATATAATGTGGTCAAACATTGTGTGAAAAGTAAATTCTAAGTAACCCAGGTCGATAGTCACTGATTTGATGTATGTATTTTGAGTAGTATAAGCAAATGTTAATTATTCACAACAACTTTTTAAAAAGTATTTTCAGTTTGAGTTTGTTTGTGTCACTCTTTCCTGCTGGACTGCAAATGTGGATGCTGTTTTGTTTATCAGTGTGTTCCCAGCACCTGATACCAGGCGCATGTCCAATAAACAATGAATGAATGAGCAAAGATCCATGTGGGATAAAGCTCTCAGGGGATAAGGCACTAATTATGCTTTTCTAGAAAGCTGACTCAAGATGGAAGATATTAGGGTGACAAGAGCAAGAGGCTGATGGGAGCCTTGGATGTCCTTCAGAATTCTGCAGTTAATAAGCTCTGTAGCATTGGTGTTTCTGGTCATATCCCATTTGTGAAATGAGGGGAATACATTGTATTGTCTCCTTTTTAACATTCCAAGCAGCATAAACTTAAAATATTTAGAACCAACTAAAAAAGCATAACCACTAAGTAGAATTGAGTTCACCATCGAGGTTGTGCTAAAAAATACTACTGGCATTTGTGCCTGCCATTTCTGTAAAGTGTGCTAAGAAAATGATATTTCTAGTATTGGACGTATTACAGAGGTATTTACCAAGCAGTATCTTGAACGTTGGGCAGAATGCTGGGATTGAATTATTTTATGTATACGATACCTAATCTATCTTTCAAACACAATTTGAGACAACAATTCAAACTAGTTTGTCCCCTCCACCCCAAGGCAAAAATGGTTCTTAGATGCAATTGAAAGACATTCTATTTATTTTTATCATTTAAACAACCTTAAATTTTTGGCATTTCAGAGATGATAAATCTTTAAAATAGGATTAAAAGAGGAAAAATGGTTCAGTAATGTTCTTTTAACTTAAAGCTCTAAAATCAACAGCTGTTAAATATTAAGATGACTCTCCAGTGTACAGTATTCTAATTTAATCTAAATGGCAAATGCTGTGCTGCATTCCCTCATAAGGAGACATTTATGGGAGGGGTGACACAAACTGTGGGATTTATAGATGAAATCTTGCACTGCTCAGGGAAGCAGGACATAAATCCTTGAGGCTGCTATATTAATGAAATAATAGGCAGTGAAGGAGAATTAGGAAATGGATTTCTTTCAGTTAGTGTCACCAGATAACTTTTTAATAGCTTTGTACAGAAATCATGATCTACCATAATAAAAAGAGAATTCTGTCAGAGTGCTAGTTTTCTTTCAAATGCTTTCTTTTACATTGGAGAAGGATCATCTCTGATAGCTACTATAATTCTTGTGTTTGTATACTTGATGATAAATAAACCAATGACTTTTTTAAAGTTTTCAATGGACCTTTATTTTATTTATTTATATGCAGTGCTGAGAATCAAACCCAGTGCCTCACACATGCTAAGCAAGTGCTCTACCACTGAGCCACAATCCCAGCCGCACCAGTGACTTTTTTGATTGAACCCAGGGGTGCTTTACCCCTGACCACATCCCCAACCCTTTTTAAAATATTTTATTTGGAGACAGGGTATCACTGAGTTGCTTAGGGCCTTGTTAAATTGCTGAGGCTGGCTTTAAACTCAAAATCTTCCTCCCTCAGCCTCCTGAGTCATTGGGATTACAGGCATGGCCACTGTGTCTGGCCCAGTGACATTTTTGTTTGAAGTAAATGTTTTTCCTATTAGGTCCTAAAGTGATTTTATACAAAAGTGTAGCAAATATATGACAAATATAAATAATTCATTCAATATTCATATATAAAATTATGCCACTAACATATTTATTTTAAATTTACACTTGATAAAAAGACTTTGCTTCAGTGTATTTGTTTTCTAGGTGTGGAATTTTATTCTCAGCAATCTCTGTAGCTCTGACAATAGAAAAGCTTTTATTATGTAGATTTTGTTTTGTTTTGCTTTTTGTTTTTGTGGTGCTGTTGACTGAACCTAGGGCCTTCTGCTTGCTAGTCAAGAGTTCTACCACCGAGCTATATCCCCTTTACTTAGTATTTAGAGTTTAAATTATGCTGTATTTGTACTGTTTCTTAAAGAACTCAGCATATTTCCATAGGTAATCTGATTTAACTTAAGAATTATATCTGAGCCAGAATGACCCTTATTTGATCACAAGTGTTTGTATTAATATTCCATTTAAAATCTGCATTCATAATAGTTGAATCTTTAATAATATTTAATTTCTTAAAATACAAATAACTTCTAAAAATTTGTTATACACAGGATTATCTGAACCATCCTCTGTTGCAAGACATGAAGACAGTTTGTTTAAGGATTTATTTCAAGACTATGAAAGATGGGTTCGTCCTGTGGAATACCTGAATGACAAAATAAAAATCAAGTTTGGCCTTGCAATATCTCAATTAGTGGATGTGGTAGGTGTGCATATTATTACATATTCCTTATCACACCAATTTCATGAGAGTCTGTTGTGTGCCTTTCCTCAAGGAACTCCTCAGGAAAAAATAATTATTGTGCCACAGACATAATGTGTTTATATGGTTTTGTATAATTTGGAAATTGTTTTATCTCATTTGGCAATGATAATAAGTTTGTCTTTCACAAATGCAAAGATACTGAAACATTTTATATTAAAGTTTCTCTTTAAATGTGTTAAACATAGATCAAAAAATTTAAGAGGAACAAACAGTTTTAGAATTATATATTCTTAGGTCCAAAAAGTATCTCAACAGGACATTGTCTCAGTATCACACTACAACATTACAGAGACTTTTCCATGTGACATTCACAAGGGAGAATAAGTTTCCTTGATAACTTTCACTGTCCAAGAGATCCTTCCTATTTAAACTAAAAATTCACACTAATTTTTAAGGTAGTTTCTTCTTGTCCTGGTCATGCTAATCATTATTTCCCTGCTATGTTCCCAGAATAGGTCAACATGTGTGTGTGTATATGTATATACATATATATATATGTATTTTTTTCACATATGTATTTTTTAAAATAACATTTATAGATGTGTCATTATTTTCTGATTAGAGAAGTAATGCATGATTTCTGTAGAGTTGGTTTCTTTTTCTTTTTCTTTTGTTTTTGGTGCTGGAACTTGAACCTAGAGGCACTTACCACTCAACTACATCCTCAGCCCTTTCTATTTTTTATTTTGAGAAAAGATCTTACTAAGTTGCCGAGACTTATCTTCAACTTGTGTTCCTCTGCCTCAGCCTCCCCAGTTGCTGGGATTACAGACATATATCACTGCACACAGTTTATAGAGAATTTTTAAAGTGCAAAAGATACAAATGAAATATATTCTAATTCTACCACCCAGAGATGACTAATGTTAACCTGTTAGGTTGTTTTAGACAGTTTTATTTATTTATTTATTTATTTTTTGTGTGTGTATGATACAATTAGAATATTTTTAGATACGATTTTGATTGCTGACTTTTTCCCTACTATAATGGCTACATGAGATTCCTTTTTAAAAATCCATTCTCCTATTGTTAGCAGATTATTGTTCAGTTTTTTTATTGTAAATAACAATGATGATGTTTGTACACAAATATCTGAATTTCTCCTTTTCTTAAGAAAGGCAGTTAGTCAGGAGTTGGAGGTGTAGCTCAGTGGTACAGTGTTTGTTCATCAAGGCCCTGGGTTTGATTCCTAGCATGATGATATATGTCACCTAGTTGCTTCCAGAGAAATCAGTGAATACATATGACCCTTTGCTAGATGGTATGGGGAGATATTAAATAAAGATAGGAAAGTAGGAAGTAAGATAAAGTGGGGCTTGCTCTCAAAGATCTTTCTTTCTGGTTGAGGCCATTGTAGAGTCACTTCAGAATACTGAAGTACTAAATCATGATGGCATGAATAGCTGGGACTTCAGATCTATCATGATGATTGAGATTATCAAAGAAGGCAGGATAGAGGAGGTGCCAGTTGAGCTGGCCTTATAGTCAGCTGACATGGAAGAGAGTAAAAATACTTTAATAAGAAGGAACAATGGGGCTGGGATTGTGGCTCAGCGATAGAGCGCTCGCCTAGCTCGGGGCGGGGGGGGGGGACCCGGGTTTGATTCTCAGCACCACATTAAAATAAATAAATAAATAAATAAAGGCTTTGAGTTGTGTCCATCTACAAAAAAGATATTCTCTCTCTCTCTCTAAAATAAATAAATAAATAAAGGAACAATGGGCTGGGGTTGTGGCTCAGTGGCTCAGTGGTAGAGCATTTGCCTATCATGTATGAGGCAATGGGTTTGATTCTCAGCACCACAAATAAATAAAATAAAGGTCCATCAACGACTAAAAATATTTTTAAAAAGAAGGAACAGTATAATCATAGCTTTGTCAGTGATACTGAGCCTTTTTGTGGAGCTGTTTAGATCAGATTAATGTTGGGAGCCCTGCTACATAGGAAAATGGTGTGACTGAATGGCTGAGCAGGTGAGGAGTGATCCCTGCATACCACCTTGCCTTTGTTTCTGCCATTTCTTCTGCTTGATGATTTTTTCCTTCTGGCATGAGGCATTTATTCCTCAAGGTCAATGCACTGTCAGACCCTTTGTGAAATTTTCCCAGACTCCAAGACAGTCTGGTCCTCTGGTAGTCTCCTGCCCTTTGATATAGTGCCCACTCCACCACTGGTGCTTGTGTGCTCTGCAGAGCAGGGCTAGCTTTATTCCTGTGTCCAACCCCGAGTCTGGCACATGGTAAATGCTGAATGGGTGAGAGATCCAACAGGCACTAGATATGGCAAAAGCAGTTCTCTAGAAGATCAGTGAGTAACATACATGGTTTTGAAGAAACTTGAGAGACAAGTTAGGTCACATAGAGGGGATAATAGAACTTGACCACTGAATGTGGAAGGAGGTATCACTTTTTTTTTTTTTGTACCAGGGATTAAACCTAGGGCGGTTGACCACTGAGACAGGTCCCCAGCCCTTTTTTGTATTTTATTTAGAAACAGGGTCTCGACGAGTTGCTGAGGCTGGCTTTAAACTCTCGATCCTCCTGCCTCAGCCTCCTGAGCCACTAGGATTACAGGCATGTGCCGCCTTGCCAGGCCAGGTGGCATATTTTGAACCCTAGGTGCCTAGAGTGGAAGAGGAACAGAAACCTGAAAGATTGCTATGGGAGTATGGCAGAGGGGATGATGACTTTGTGATCTGAGGTGTTCATTCCAAAGAAAATGTTCACTAGCCCTGGGGAAGTCAAGAACAGCTCTGAGGTGAAAGAGAGACTAAGGATATCAATTTGGAATTGCGGGCTGTGGATGAGTGTTGAAACTTTGGTTAGTTTTTAAAGCTAGTGAAGAAAAGTAGGAACCTGATCCTTGAGGAACATTTGTAGAAAGTGGTAAAATTAACCACAGCAGTGCATGGCTATAATTCCAGCAACACGGGATGCTGAGGGAGGATAATTACAAGTTAAAGGCCAGCCTGAACAGCTTAGCAAGACCTTGTCTCAAAATAAAAAAAAATATAAAGGACTGGGGATGTGGCTCAATGGTAGAGCACCCCTTTTAAATCTTCAGTACTGTAAGAAGAAAAAAAAGAATAAAGTTAGTCCAGTAGAGAAGTTGGAATGTCAGTGACTACAAGAGGGTCTGGAGTCATAGAAGATGAGGGTGACTGGTCCTGGGGTTGAAAACAGAAAGTTCATTGAATTGCTTCTAAGTGCTTTTATGATCCTTTCATCATTGGGGTCTCTCAATTCTATAATCATGCTGGTAGCTCTCCCTTGAACTTTCTGTAGATTTCTACCTTATTTCCTACATGTTATCCTGCTCTTTATGTATTTATTTTTTATTTATTTATTTTTCAGTACCAGAGGTTGAACCCAGGGGTGCCTAACCACTGAGCTCCATCCCCGGCCCTTTTTAGTTTTCTATTTTGAGACAGGTTCTCCCAAAGTTGCTGAGGCTGGCTTTCACTTGGGATCCTCCTGCTTCAACCTCTTAGAGTCGCTGGGATTACAGGCGTGTGCCACTGTGCCTGCTTGTTTTTAAAAATATCTCCATGTTTATTTGTTTGTTTTAATATTATATTTTTATGATCAGGTTAAGAAACTATTACCACTTAAACTTCTGATATGCTTACATGTAGTTTAATCTTCTCCACTTATTTTGTGTTTTCCTCCTGGGTATTGTCCACACTTGTCCTCACTCAGTTTCATTTTGTTGCATCCTCCCTCTGCAGAGCACATTATAGATGCTCAGGAGATACCTGCAGCCACATTAAATTAGGATGCATCCCCTATGGTAATGGGTTAGCTGCCTCATCTTTGAGGCTAGTTGCAAATTTATGGATTATTATTTAAAAAAATTTTAGTTATAGATGGACACATTTATTTATTTTTATATTGTGCTGAAGATTGAACGTAGTGCCCCACACATGCTAGGCTAGCACTTTGCCACTGAGCTACAACCTCAACTCCTTATGAATTATTTTTTAATCTGCATTATGGGTAGTTGAAAATACCAAGGTTTGATTGGGTTCTAATCAGAGAGCAAAATATGTGCTCACATTTCTAGAAAAAGGGTTCATTCATCACTTTTAAAGATGACCTACTGCCCTATAGCATCATAAGAATTATATTTACCAGAACTTTCCTAAATATAAATACCTCTGTTTAGAACTTTTGTGGAACAGGCATATTCTCATACTGGGATTAGCAGTTATTCTGGATGGTGTGTGACTTTGGGGTGGGCAGTAGAGCTGGTGGGATAAAGTTTAGATTTAGGAGATTCAAATTTTAGAATTGGTTCTATCACTGACTAGTGTGATTTTAGGTAAGTCACTTCACTGGGCCAGTTTCTATACCTGGAGTATGAAGGAAGGAATTACAGTAGATGAGGTCTCTAGGTCCTCTCCAGCTCTTTCTGTTGTTGTGTTCTGTTGCTTTTGGATGGTGCTGAGGATTGAACTCAGGGCCTTGTGTATGCCAGTCTACCACTGAGCTACATCCCTACCCCTGAACTCTTGTGTTTTAATTAAAGAAAATTGCTCTTGGGAACTACATCTTAAGATGGATGGCTATGCTGATTCCTAGCAATCATTCCTCCTATGTGTGGATGTCACACAGCTGCTTTTGTCCCTAGGGATGTGCTTCCTTCAAGTCTCCTCCTGCTGTTGGGATAGAATAGGGAAAGGGTAACCTTCAGCTACCTGAGCTATTTACACTGTATTCTCTCCCCAGCTGCCTCTCTTCGCTGTGGCTCTCTTTGCTTAGCCTCATATCCTATACATAGTGTACTTGTGGTTGTTGATTATGGTGAATTTGGCTTGTTCATTTGACTCCATGAAATTTCAGTAAAACTTGGTAGGAGAAAATATCACTTTAATTAGGCCTTGAAAATTTGGGGAAGGGCTGGCACAGCAAAGATTTGACAGCTGGAGGAATAAGTGACAAGTCTTAAGGACCCCAGGTTCTCTAGAAAAGTAAGACCTAAAGGCTTTGTGAAATGCTTAGACATCCGTATTTTTTTTTACATAGCAGACCCACAGGGAAGTTCAAATTCTTGCCCACAAGGAATAGTCCCTTGACAATGTACAGAAATGCCATGTCTCACTAATCCTAAGATGCATGCTTTTCCATATTTTGCCATCTCTGAACTAGAGTATATCTTATAATTAATGACAGCTTGCAATTCATTGATAGCTTCTCTTCCTTTTGGTGCTAAGCAAATAGAATAATGCTATGTATCTTAGATTCTGTCTTAAATTTGAGGAAATTATAGTAGTTGATACCATGAATGTTAAATCTAAAAATGCCAATGGTATGCTTTAAGGTAGTTTATCTGAAGTACAGAGTATGTTGAAAGGAATAATGTGAAATTAGGCTGGAAAAGAATACTAATTTTCTAGAGAACCAGAGTGATAAGCAGAATGTCAATTCTATATGGAGGATATTTGTATAAAAACATAACGCTTCTTATTTTATTTAAAGAATTGCTTCTATAATTGCAATAATCTTATTTAAATTTTTATTCACAGGATGAGAAAAATCAGTTAATGACAACAAATGTCTGGTTGAAACAGGTATGTATAACATTCAAATGGGCGTCCAGCTAGAAGCTGGCACCACCAATTACCACAGGGCTTACAGCACAAAGGGACATGAATATGTGGTCTTGGTGAATTGGCCGAATACAGAAAAATGACAGTAGATGAATTCTTATGTTGAATCAGTTAATATTTTTCAAGTTAAATACTTGTTAATTAGTTAATATTTTTCAAGTGCCTTCTATGTGTCAGGCTCTGTGCTGGGCACTGGGGAAACTTTAGTGAACAAAACAAACTCCAAAATCCTTGCCTTCATGGAATTTCATTCTAGTGGGAGGAAAAGGAACAAGTACCTTAGAAGCTGATGAGCTTGGAGAACACATTGGGAAAGAGGTTAGGGAATGTTAAGGACTATACTAATAAGCAGAATGTTCAGAGAAAATGTCACCTGGAAGGCAAAGTTTGAACAAAGACTTGGAGGAGAAGAAGAAAGCCCTGTGGGTGCCTGGGGAGGAACATTCCAGGTGGAGGGACCAGTAAGTGCAAAGGCCCTGAGGCTGGGATGTGTCTCACTTAAAGGAGTAGCAAGGCCAGTGTGGCTAGAAATGAGTGAGACATGGTGAGGGGTAAGTAATGGGAGACTAATGGAATAGTGGCTCATAGCGCACTGCAAGGATGTTGGCTTTAACTCTGAGATGGGAGTGGACAAGAATGTAATACGTTATTTTTACATAGAGTGCCTTTTATATGAAGGTCCCCATTTTACTGGGCTACCATACGTATGCCCTCAATAGTTTGATGAGTGCTTCCCTTTTGTTTATTCCACCATTCCTAATTCTTATGCCTATTACCAACATCCCTAACCTGAAACTCCTAAAAAGCAGATGTGCCTTTCTTGGCATGTGACTCTTACCTTGATATGATCACAGAAGTGTTACTACATGGAGGCTGATATGGTGTTTAAATATGCGGAATGTGTAATAAATCCAAATCCCCTTTGCACAGACCAGTCCAGCCAAATTGAGTAACGATACAGTTGGGAAAAGAGAATGTTTCCTCTGAACCTTGGGGGCCCATGGCTTCAAGTCCTGGGCATGGTCAGTTGGTGGGAGAAGAGGTGCTGCATGGAGCCATGAGTGCATCAGCTTTGGTTGTCTCCTGTGTCTCATGAGGACCATGAGCCCTGAGTCCATAGCCAGAGCCACTACCTAGAAGTTGGGCTTCAGTGCCCACATCAAAGAGATGGAGTTGAGTTTTCTGTATTGGGGGCAAAGATGATTTCATGTCTAAAATTTCAGGACTTGACAAAGAGTATAATTTTCACTATTATTTGGTTTGGAATTGAGGCAGATTTCTTCATTTTAAAGGAATGGACAGATGTAAAATTAAGATGGAACCCTGATGACTATGGTGGAATAAAAGTTATACGTGTTCCTTCAGACTCCCTCTGGACCCCAGACATTGTTTTGTTTGATAAGTAAGTTGTATTCTAAATGCCATTTTATATTTTTGAAAGAAAACGTGTATTACTATCAGGCAGCAGTCATTTGTTCCCCTTTGAAAATCATTCAGCTATATATGACTAGATTTTATGTTCCTTTGTTTCTTAAACCTACTAAGAGGTTCTGTGACTCCTCCTTTTTTTCTTGTGTGTACTATTTTTTATCATAAAAGTGTTCTCTGATTTCTGAAATTTGAAAAAGGTTTGGGAAGTACAGGAAGGTGTAAGGAATGGGGGAAATTAGACATAACCACAGTTATTGGCTTACACATATGGTGAACTTCCATGTGTCTGGAATGTGCTAGTAAATGCCTTATGTGCTTTATGTAATTTGATTCTCACAATAACCTCATGCATTAAATGGAGGCCTAGGGTAGTTACACCTTATTTAAGATCACACAGCTCTCACGTAGTCGGGTAGGGCTTCACACCAAAGCAGTGTGACATTCCTATTTATCCTCCACATATTTGGCAGATTTCCAGATTTTGGGGTCTGTTTTTTAGTTTTGGTCACATATTATGTTCAAAAGCATCCTTCTAATTTTGTTTAAATACTGTATTGTCATTTTCCTGTGATAAGGAATATTGGGTTAATTATTAACCCATCTTTATAGGCATCCTGCCTAGGTATATTTGGAGGATTTTTTTAATTGGGGGGAGAGGAAAATTTTGGGTACCAGTTTCATTTCTTATTCTAGGACCATTCTGGGGAAAATCAGGAAATTTGTGCTCATTCTAAAGTACTTTGTCTTATTTGCAAAAAGGCATTTGACACAATGCTGTGTAAAAATAATCTTTTGAAACTTTTGACCTCCCTTTTTTCTTTCCACATATTTTTTTATTGGTGCACCTCCATGTTTCTTGATAGAGAAGGGTAAACAAGCTTGAGGTAAGGTGCTACAACCTTCTTTAATTACTCTCAGTAATTAAAGACTTTTTTATACCACACATAGATATATTACAGAGTACTGTATAAAAGATACATAAATCTGAAGATAAACACAATTTTGAAACAAATCGTGTGTTGGGGTACAGCTTCTTACTAGGCTTCTTCAGCATAGGAGTTTACTTGTGGGAGAGCCCAACAAGCACTGCTGTCTTCCAGGGCTGTGCCCAGGGGGAGCATTCTTTTCCTGGTACCGTGGAAAATGTCCAGTGTTTGTGGTGGAGAAGAAAGAACTCCATGTGGGGAGTCTAGGAATGTGAATTCAGGTTCTGGCTCTGTGCATGTCCTGTGTATAAATAGCCTGATTCTATTTTGTGTGTAAAGTGAGGTTCTTTCAACCGCTAAAATTGCAAAATGAAAAGTATGGATTTTTCAGTCCTGGAAAACATGTAGAAGTTGTTCAGTTCCAGTAAGGTCAGATGTTTAAGGAAGATCTCTAGAGCAGCGTCCCCTATGTACAGCAGGTATATATGAAGGGTAGTAATTTAAAAATATTTCATGCTGTCAGTTATAGGCTTTCTTTTATTTTTGGCTTATACAGTGCATGATTGAGTTGTATTTTCTGTTTTGTTACTGAACATGTTTGTATTTTAGTGCAGATGGACGTTTTGAAGGGGCCAGTACAAAAACAGTTGTCAGGTACAATGGCACTGTCACCTGGACACAGCCAGCAAACTACAAAAGTTCCTGTACTATTGATGTCACATTTTTCCCATTTGATCTCCAAAACTGTTCCATGAAATTTGGCTCTTGGACGTACGATGGATCTCAGGTTGATATAATCCTAGAGGACCAAGATGTAGACAAGACAGATTTTTTTGATAATGGAGAATGGGAAATTGTGAGTGCAGCGGGGAGCAAAGGAAACAGAACTGACAGCTGCTGCTGGTACCCCTACATCACTTACTCCTTTGTAATTAAGCGACTGCCTCTCTTTTATACCTTGTTCCTTATTATACCCTGTATTGGGCTCTCATTTCTGACAGTAGTTGTCTTCTATCTTCCTTCAAATGAAGGTGAAAAGATTAGTCTGTGCACTTCGGTCCTTGTCTCTCTGACTGTCTTCCTTCTGGTTATTGAAGAGATCATACCCTCCTCTTCTAAAGTAATACCTCTGATTGGAGAGTACCTGGTGTTCACCATGATTTTTGTGACCCTATCAATTATGGTGACTGTCTTCGCCATTAACATTCACCATCGCTCTTCCTCAACACACAACGCTATGGCACCCTGGGTCCGCAAGATATTTCTTCACAAGCTTCCCAAACTGCTTTGCATGAGAAGTCACGTAGACAGGTACTTCACTCAAAGAAAGGAAACCGAGAGTGGTAGTGAACCAAAATCTTCAAGAAACACGTTGGAAGCTGCACTTGATTCTATTCGCTACATTACAAGACATGTCATGAAGGAGAATGATGTCCGTGAGGTCTGTGACATGTGTTTATGAATGCAGTTCTGCTTGGATTCTAAGAGGGGACTGTAATGATTCAGCATGACCATTAAGGCTAAGCATAGACTGAGGGATACATTGCTATTTTTTTAAAAAAAATCTTATGGTCTGGGGGTGTAGCTCAGCAGTAGAGTGCTTGCCTACTGCTGTGCAAGACCCTGGGTTTAATCCCCATAATGCCCAGTATGGAAAAAAACAACAACAAAGAAACAATTAAGGGGCTGGGATTGTAGCTCAGCATTAGTGCACTTCCCTCCCAAGTGTAAGGCATTGGGTTGGTTTCTCAGTACCGCATATAAATAAATAAAATAAAGGCCTATCAACAACTAAAAAAAAAAAAAAAAATCCTTAAAAAAAAATATTAAAACCCGTTTCCATTAAACCCTGGCAAAATGGGGCATCTCTACATCTCTGGGGCAACTATACTTCTCTCCGTTTCTCCCAGCAGCATCTTGGGTAACTTAAAAGAAATTTTATTGGTATGCATTCAAAGGAATAGTAATCTTGACATTAATTAAGATACCATCTTAATTTTATCTTCAGTAACTTTGCTTCTGAATTCAGTGATAATCAGCAGGCACAACTGCATTATAATTTATCAAAACTTTTATTTTTAAAAGAAGGAGCCTAATGTAGGCTCTTTAAAAATACAGTCAAGATATTTTCCTAGAAAAAAAATTTTTGTGGTTCATTAATAAGAAATTTTAATAAAATTAAAAGGAGTAAGGTGTTCTTGTGTATTAGTTATTATAGTTCAAAGTGTTCATATGAAACTTAGTAATAGTGCTTAATAATATGCTTAATTTGCTTAAGACTTTATTATAGAAAACAAGTTTCACTTGTTGTTATTTAAGGTTAATTAACATTTAAAATATAAGAGCTGAACATATATACATTTTACCAATGTGGTAATATTGAACTGGGTTTTTTTTCCCAAAATGTTTGAAATTTTCAATTGTGTCAGTCTTTCTTCATTTCTATTGTGTAATGTTTTTAAAGCTATGACTATAACGATACTTTCATAATTGAATTAACTTTACATGGTCCCATAAAAATTATATAAATTTTAATTTCTAAAGCTTTTGTTTTTAATGGAAAGTTTTCTAGCAGGTATAGGTAGGAAATGGAACAAATCTAATAAATAACAGCCAGCACCAGAGTGCACACCTACAAATCCCAGCTTCTCAAGAGGCTGAGACAGAGGATCATAAGTCAAGGCCAGCCTCAGCAACTTGGTGAGGCGCTGTCACAAAGTAAAAAATAATGGGGCTGGAGCTGTGGCTCAGCGATAGAATGCTCACCTAGCACATGTGAGGTGCTGGGTTCGATCCTCATCACCACATAAAAATAAGTAAATAAAATAAAGATATTATGTCCAACTACAACTAAAAAAATATTTTTAAAAAAAGGGCTAGGGATATGGCTTAGTGGTATATGAGGATATGGCTTGGGGGCGGGGGTGGGGTGTAATCCCTAGTATGGGGATTGGGAGTGAGAGGAAAAAAAAACTTCCTCCCAAAAGGGATATATCACACACAATTCTAGTAAACTTTTTTTGTTTTGTGTTTTGAAACAGAGTCTTGCCATGTTGCCAAGCTGGCCTCAAACTTTTGGGCTTAAGAGATCCACCTGCTTCAGCTTCCCTGGTAGTTGGGACTGGAAGCACATGCCATTGCACCTGGCTTACTTATAATGAACTTTTTTTTTTTTTTTGTACCAGGGGTTGAACCCAGGGACACTGAACCATGTCCCCAGCCTTTTAAAAATATTTTATTTAGAGACAGGGTCTCTCTGAGTTGCTGAGGGCCTGCTAAGTTGCTGAGGCTGGCTTTGAATTTGCAATCCTCCTGCCTCAGCCTCCCAAGCCACTGGGATTACAGGCATGCTCCACTGTGCCTGGCACTTATAATGACTTTTAATGCTTGTGGATTTGTAAAGTTTCTATTTGATGGTAGTATAATTAAATTAGTTTATAAGGTCTGAAGCTACCAATGAATGGAGTCTTGAAAAGTGGATTTATTTTAGATAATGATTTAGACTGAGATGGAATTTAATAAATGTCTACAAAGAATTGTGCGAAAACAGTAAGGGTTATAAACTAGGACCAGGAAATAAGTTTTATTTCCAAGACAAAACTTAGAAGCAGAGAAGTAGTGGTGTGTTTAGAATCCTCTGAATTCTAAACTATCCCACAAGTTGGGGGCATTGTTTCTGTAAGGACCCTGTGCTTCACAGAGGCTAAGGGAGAGGGAAACCCTGCCCCTCACCCCACCCCACCCCCAAGGAAATGGCATGTTAGGAAAGGGAGCTTCTAGTGCTCAGTGGCTGGCTCAGCTGGCCCTTCCCTCCAGGTGACTCCTAAAGGGTGTCCCTGAAGCTGGATCCAGAGCCAGTGGTTCCATCCTCATGAGTTTAGATAAAAATAGTCCCTAGGAAATCCAAAAGTCAATAAAGTAGTACAAAAGTAGTATAAAAATGTACTGCTGGTGGTCGGGGGAGAAGATTATAGCTTTCTAATGTGGATTATTCTGAACCAACTTTTAATTTGATATAAAATTAACCTCAAGCCGTTGTCTCTCAAAAAATTACACTACATTCTTGCAACTACTAACCAAGATTAAGTTAATAGAAAAAAACTAAATACTTTGGTTGTGGCTCAGCAGTAGAGTGTTTACCTAGCACATTGGAGGCTCTGGGTTCGATTCTCAGCATCACATAAAAATAAATAAAATAAAAGCATTGTGTCCAACTACAACTTAAAAATAAATACTTAAAAAACCTTAAGTACTAAAAATACATTATTTTTTAGTTTATTGCAAAACATCCAAGTAGTATAGGCACTTTATTAAAAAAATCTTCAAACCTCGTAATGTATTATAGACTGATATGTAAAGGAACAAATTTTATAATGTCTTTTCAAGCTTGAACAGGTTGTATTTGTTATAGACCACCAGGGTGTTCTGTCCCTGAACCCTAAGGTCATACTGTTTGGAGGCAGTAAATGATTGCCCTCTAACTTAGTGTGTTATATCTTTAAATATCTACACAACTTTTATTTTAATGTGTTTTTATTTTTATTTTTGTAACAGGTTGTTGAAGATTGGAAATTCATAGCCCAGGTTCTTGATCGGATGTTTCTGTGGACTTTTCTTCTGGTTTCAATTATTGGATCTCTGGGTCTTTTTGTTCCTGTTATTTATGAATGGGCAAATATAATTGTACCAGTTCATATTGGAAATACAAATAAGTGAAACTTTGAAGGGTTTGAATTTAGTTACAAAACATATATCTATCATGGCATGTCTACACTTAGGCAAATATAAAGTTGTGTTTAAAATATGATGTAAGCTGCAGCAGATTAATAGTTGCTAACATTGGTTTGCCTAATAGATTATTCATTAGTACATCTACCTGCATGGCTGAAGTAATGACTAAAAATAACAGCAAAATATTATCCAAACTGTACTAGTGAAAATCTAGTGTTTTCCTGGTTTGTAATCAATAGTGATGCTCATCTTTTGGTTTTTTGTTTGTTTGGTTGGTTGGTTGGTTTTTGGTGCTGGGGATTGAACCAAGGCTTGGCACATGCTAGGCAAGTGCTCTACCCTCGGAGCTATACCTCCAACCCAAGCTCATCTTTTGAATGCTGGAAAATTCTAGTTGTGTTTGAAGATATATTTTAAAACTTTTTCAGGATTTGGTAAAGGTATACTTTTTTTTTTTTTTTTGAGATGGGATCTTGATAAAATGCCTAGACTGGCCCCAAACTCTTGGGCTCAAGTGATCTTCTTGCCCTCAACCTCCTGAGTAGCTGGGACTACATGTGTGTGCCACTTGTGCCAGGCTAAGGGATACATTTAAAAATTCTTTCTGTCCTGTATTTAATAATAACAGCTAATCTTCAGTGTATTCTGCTCTCATAAGTAAGCTGATTACTCAGTATAAGAGTGACTTAAAATGATGCTGCTATTCTATAACCAACATTTTTAATAAATGAAAAGTGGAGATTGGACACTCCTTTAAGGCTTTATTCTTTAGATGTTTAAACCAAGTAAATATTTTATTAACTATCTTTATAGCTTTCCTTCCATTGTAAAATCACATACCAGACAATTCTTGTCAACGTGCAGGAGCATGTCCTTAACATTAATTTCAACCCCCTTGTACATATTCCCCACAATTAATAGAGCCATCTATACAAACTATGGTGGCATCTCTTTATCCTTGATCTCAGAAGAGTTCACTGTAATTACATAAATTTTAAAAATTTTAAAAGCATGTCTATGTCTAGAACATTCTATGAGAAAACCGTCTTCTAAGCTTAAAGATGGTATTCTAATTTGGTATAAGCATATCATTACATATCTAATACTTGCTTTCTTTCATTTCAACAATTACAATAATAGAATATTGGAGTTGCAGGATGTTTAGATGTAATCTAGTCTTAGCCTTTTACTAGTACAGTATATATCAGTAAGTAGTACATCATCTCCAAATGTCCCTGACTCACCTGTAACCAGGAAGAAAACACTGATAGAAACCTTGCGTTAAATTTAGAACTCTTGGCTGTTGAGATAGTAAATGCATTATTTATTTGTAGTAAGTAACCCATCTATCTTCAAGTCAACACTCTTTGGAGGGAAGAGGAGACCCTGTCAAATTTACATTTTTCCTATAGGCAAGTGTTTAATGCCACTTAATGAGTGAAAGTTTGTGCTACAGTTTGGATAAGTGTCCCCAAAGGCCTGTGTGTTGAAGGCTTGGTTGCCAGCCTGTGATGTCATTGGAAGGCTATTAGGGGTAGAGCCTAGTTTAAGGAAGTTAGGACAGTAGAGGTGTGCCCTTTAAGGGAATACTGGGATACTAGGCCCTTCCCACCAACCACCTCACTGCTTCTTGGCCACTGCGTGATAAATAGCTTTGTTCTACCCCATGCTTCTCACCATGATGTGCTCCTTGCTACAGGCCCCCAGAACAACATGACAATTGACCATGGACTGAAACCATGATAATCTTTTCTTCCTTTAAGTTTATTATCTCAGGTATTTTGTCAGTGACAGAAAAATAATACAGAAAATGAGTATCAAGAAATCAAGTCTTTGGGCAGGTGTGGTGGTGCATGCCTATAATCCTAGTGGCTCAGAACGCTGAGGCAGAAGGAGCACAAGTTCAAAGCCAGCCTCAGCAATTTAGTGAGGCTATAAGCAATCTAGTGAGACCCTGTCTCAAAGTAAAAAGGGCCAGGGATGAGGCTGAGTGGTTTAGTATCCTTGGGTCCAATCCCTGGTACAAAAAAAGAGTCATTGCTATGATTATTCCTGACAGTGCCATTCAGAAGCATTTGAAATTGGATTGTGGGAAGAATTTGGAAAAGTTTGGAGAAGTAAAGAAAGCCTAGAATGCTATAAACAGATTAACAGGTGTTTCTGGTGAGGTCTCAGAAGACCAGAATGCTGATAGAAATGTGGACAGTATATGCTTATGGGGGTTCCAATGGAAATAAAGACTCTACTTGGAATTGGATTTTGAGGCCATCGTATTATATTGTGGCAAAGAATCTGGATTCATTTTGTCCATGCCTAAAACTTTGTGGGAGGCAGAGCTCAAGTGTGATGGACTAGTTTATTTGGCAGAGGAAGTTTCACAGCAGCGCAACATTCAGGCTCAAGCTTTGGTGTGGGTATTGCTGGCTGTTTTTAGCCAGATTTACAGTGAGAGTTGGGAGCAAAAAGAAAAGGAAAAGCAGAAAGACACCCTGCTCACACAATGCCATCTAGGGAGTAGGTACTCAGGCTGCTGCAGCCATGGTTCAAGTGGGTCCTGGTACATACAGCTCATGCTAGTAGCAGACCTTGGGGTCTTCCACAAATGCTGGCTGTGCAGACATGCAGAATGCAAGAGTTGTGGAGTCACACAGGCTTCCACCAAAATTTAGAGGGAATTCCTGAGAGGCCAAGCATTGTGTGATAGGTGAGAGCCCCTGCAAGCAGCCCTCAAGAGATGCTTGAAGCTGTGAGAATAAACAGAAGCTGCAGTGGAAACCCCAGGAAGTTAAAGATTCTGGAACATTGAATGCCTGCTGAGGTAAGCTGAAGGCAGCAAGCAGAGCCTGCTCAAGAGAGTAGCCATGTGGGCTACAGCCAGCAAGGGCACAGAGGCAGGACTGCCCAAGCCCTTGGGATCCCACAGTCTGCCACTGCATGCCCTGGATGCCAGACATGGTGACTTACTGTTCAGTGTTTTCCTGCTGGGTTTTGGTACTTTGGTCTGATCTTTCCTATCTACGCCCCTACTCCTCACTTTGGGAACAGGGATGTCTACCCTATGCTGCTATATCTTGGAAGTGTGTAACTTTTTGATTTATATATCAATTTTTTTTTAAGCAGGAACTCATAGCCAACTTTGCCTTGAGTCTTGAAGGTGAGCGATTCTGGAATATTTAAATTTTGAAGACTCTTAGAGAAAGATCTAAATGATTTTGCATTACGGGATGGACATGAGCTTTTGGGGGCCAGAGGCAAAAAAGCTATAGGTAGGGTAAACATCTTCCAAAGGCCTGTATGTTGAAGGCTTGGTTGCCAAACTGTGGCATTATTGGGAAGTGGTGGAATCTTTAGGAGGTAGAGCCTAGTAGAAGGAAGTTAGGTCACTAGGGTGTATCCTTTAAGAAAATACTACTAGGACTCCAGCCTCACCCCTCCCCCACTTCCTGGCCACTATGAGATAAATAGCTTTGCTCTACCACATGCATCCCACCATGACATACTGCCTCATAGTAGGCCCAGAAGTAATATGCCAGTCAACCAGGGACTGAAACCTCTGAAACGGTGAGCCTAAATAAGCCTTTCCTCTTTTTAGGTTGGTTGTCTCAGGTATTTTGTCACAATGATGAAAGGTAATTAATAGTCTGGTTTGATGTAAATTGCTTCTTAGCTGTCTTAGCTTGTGTCATCCCTGATCTCTCATATCCCTGTCACTGTTACTTAAGATTTTTATATATCAGTAAATTTTACAGAAATCATCTTTTGACTTACCAGAACAGGTCACAGTGGACTGCAATTGTATTTTTATTTTTATATAAGAAAAATATCACAGTAACTAGTGAGAAGATTCAAATGGCCTCTGAATCATCATCCCTGTCAGTGGTTATTCATCTTGAAAAGTATAGTATGGAAAACTCTTCTAATAATTTGTCTAAAGCATTACTTCTCAACCAATGCCAATTAAATTATTTCTGGAAACATTTTTGGTTGTCACAACTGGTGAGGGAGCAGGGCTTGTCACTGGCATCTAATAGATAGACGCCACAGTCCTTCTAAAGATCCTACAGTGCACAGGACATCCTCAATCCCCCACCCGAACACACAGTTATTCAGCCAAAATGGTAATAAAGCTAATAAAGTTCAGAAACCCCTGTTCTAAAGGTTCACACTCTGGTCTGAATGTGTCTCTTTAAAATTATGTTGAAACCCAACACCCAGAGTGACAGTATCAGAAGGTGGAATCTTTAGGAGGTGATTAGTCATAGGGACATGCCCTCACAAATGGGATCAGTACCCTTATAACAGAGACCCCAGAGAGATAACTCAGCCCTTCAGCCAGGTGAGGACTCAACTAGAAGGCACCCTCCATGAGGAAGAGAGCCCTACTAGACACTGAGTCTTGCTGGTGCCTTGATTTTGGATCCCCCAGGCTCCTAAATTGTGAGAAATAATTTTCTACTTATAAGCTACTCAGTTTATGGTATTTGATTATAGTAGCCTGAATGTGTGACTGGGTATAATTTCTTATGGGATGATTTGGAGTTACACAAGATAAATAGCTGAAATGGAGCTATGCCCCTTAGACTTCTTGAAAGACAGTAAAAAATAAGAAATGCACAGTAAGAAATGGTAATAGTGGGAATACTCCTGAAGTAAAAACTTAAAGGAGATTATGGGCTAAATAATATTGGGAGATTTGTAGTATACTGAACAAGATTTTCATATTTCTGAACAGGAAGTTTTTCTATCCAGTTAGGTTTCAAGCAGTCAAAAGAAAACAAAAAATAAAAACTTTTTTCACATGCTCCATAGTATAGTACACTACTTAATCACTGTGGAAGAACTGAATTTTTTTTTCTTTTCTTGTGGTACTGGGTATTTAGCCTAGGAATATTTTATCACAGAGCCACACCCAGCCCTTTTTATTTTTATTTTAAGACAGGGTCTCACTGAGTTGCTTAGAGCCTAAGTTCTTGAGGCTGACCTCAAAATTTGTTCTTCTGCCTCAGCCTCCTGAGTCATTAGAACTACAATATGTGCCATCATGCCCAGGTAGAATAATTTATATTTTGACACTTCTTTATCTTGTCAAAAAAGGCTAAATGTTCATTTATACATATAAGTATTCTTGTTGGGTTTCTTTGCATGATTTTTTTCCTTTCCTTTTTGGCCAAAAACCAGGGCAATAAGTAAATCTTGAAATGCCAAAATCAAAGCTGGTAGCGTGGTAACAGAAAATGTATTACTATTAAGAAACAGACATCTCCCTCCCTCAAAACACACACAGGTAAGCCTCAGGCAAACACAGGTCAGTGCTTACGCATCATCCCTGGCCATCAGGGGTTGCAGAAACAATCCTGCTGTCCCTAAAATGCACACCAGGATGAAAACCCATAGAAAAATGCGATCAATCACCATGGCAACATATTTCCAGTCGTCTTGAATCTGAAAAACAAACAAACAAACAAATAAAAATCATGAAAGAGAAAGCACAAGGGGAAAAGCAAAGTGAATGTGTGTGTGTGGTTAGGGGGTAGTGCTGGTTTTGAACCTGGAGTCTTGTACATGCTGGGCAGGTTCTCTACCACTGAGCCACATCCCCAGCCCCAAGTGGATAGTTTCAATATTTAACAATATAAGAAGTCATTTTATCTCCAATATGCAAGAACTCTCTTTTTTTACTCAATGTGGTCTGAAGAAATCTACCATCAAGTTTTGCTTCATGCAGTGGAGAAATAGGTATGAAATATTTATCATATTAGCTCTGTTTCAAATGAGAAATTTCTAGGCCTTTATAACCCATTTTTTTCTAAATTTCAGTTTTGTAAAGTTAGCAAAACCAGTTATTTATGCCTCTATTTTGGGCCTTTGTTTGAATGGCTATTACAACCCAGCATCACTTGCTATTGTTTCAAGTACTCATTCTTTTCCAGTTTTAGATACTAATCTTACATCTGTTGCAAATGTGAAAAAGCACATCAGGCAAGTCTATCATCCTTTTCTTTCCTAGTACTCCATTCCAGAATGCCCACAGACCAAATGTCATCTTCAGGTGGAAGGTCAAAGTACAATGGAATGCTATACAGTATTATATGAGGTTCAGCCTGCCCTACACAGTTGAAATAACTGCTGACAATGAAGTTTAAAAAAAAATGGAAGAGAGTGCAACACTAATTGTACATAATACAGCTTCAATTGAGGCTTGAAATAGGAAAAAGAATTGTATGGTAATTAAACTCCTAGACGATTCAGAAAGCAAAGGAACCATAATTGAATTGAGAAGGAGAGAATCCATGAATCAACTGATTTTGAAGCAATAATCACATAATAAAGAGGCAGCATGTAATTTTGTAATTTAATTAAGTGCCCCGAATTGGGACTGGAAATATGGATTTTACTATTATGAGTTTGAGTAAATGTGTCCTCTCAGTGACACTAAGAAGTCATTGGTAAAGTTATAATGCCCTGTTTGCCACAAGTTACTTTATTTGAATTCCTAAGACTGGTTTGTAAGTGCTTCAGATCTACCAGGGGCTCTGATTTCTACCCATATACTATAGGCTGAGCCTCCTAAGGGTGTAAGAGGCAGGCAGGTGGGAAAATAGAGACCTGGAGACAGATTTTGATTATAATATCACTCTGCTCCTTTCTAGTTGTAAGAATCTGGGTAAATTCTATCTCCTCCCTTAGCCTCAACTTATTTATCTATAAAATGGGAATAAGAACAATACCTACCTCAGAGGGTTGTTTTGGTACAGAGTCCTTAATGAACAGTACCTATTGATGTTAATGTTGATTTGAAAAAATGACTAATATCCCCACTTAAATCTCCCTCTGACTGCACTTCACATGGTTCAGCCCAATAAAGAAAAACTGGACTTGTGTCTTAGACATGGGTACAAAGGGGCATGAATTTTAAGCGCCCTCCCTCCCTCCCTCCCTCCCTCTCTCTCTCTCTCTACATTTTTAGTTGTAGAAGGACATGATACCTTTATTTTGTTTATTTAGGTTTTTTTATGTGGTGCTGTGGACCAAGGCCTCAGGCGCGCTAGGCAAGTGCTCTACCGCTGAGCCACCACACCAGCCCTAAATCTAACTCTTAAAGCCTTCAAAGCTGGGCTGGGGATGTGGCTCAAGGGGTAGCGCGCTCGCCGGGCGTGCGTGCGGCCCGGGTTCGATCCTCAGCACCACATACAAACAAAGATGTGTCCGCGGAAAACTAAAAAATAAATATTAAAATTCTCTCTCTCTCTTAAAAAAAAAGCATAATGATATTGGCCATTCTCTAGAAACATTGGGATGAATGATGAATCGAGGGTAGATGAAAGTTGGGCAAAATGGTGAACAGGCCCAAGCTCCTACCTTCCTTGCACAGCACAACCCTGGAGATGGCCCAGAAACAAGAGACTCTAAAGACTCTTGGGGTGGCAGGTGAGCCAGGAAGGGCATGGAAGGAGAAGCGTGGTGCTCTTTTGGCCCTGCCTCATTACCACCTCAGCCTGTCCGCTCCCTTCCCAGAGATGCAGGCTCAGGGGTGATGTGCAAGGCCAGCAGAGCCTGGCTGATGGGAAGAGCAGAGCATAGAAAGGTGCCCACTGACTGGAGTAGCTGAAGCTCCCTTCCTCTCCTCCCACATCAAGGACTGAACTACTTTAGTCCAGCAGAAGGGACTGGAAGAGATCAGAGCCAGGCAGGAGGTGGCCAGACATTTCTTTAGGAACAAAGCACCTAGAGGGGAGGCAGCACCCTCAAAGGGAAATTACCCCAGTTTGTGACCAGATGTCCTCAGCCTTGTGCTGTCTGACTTTTGGCCCTTCCCTCAAACAATTCACCAAGGACAGCTGACTCTCCCTGGAGAAAGGGTGTTTACAGGCCGAAAAGACACACATTTAGCCATCTGGAGGAAAGTGAACACATTAGACAGGGCAAGGACTTAAAAATGCTCTCCTCTAAGATAAGAGAACACTGGAAACATGAAGTAGAAACAAGCAATTTGACAGAAGAACCACTAAGTGTAAAAGGTACAAAAAATAGTAGGTGTGAAAATAGAAAATTTGTGACAAAGAACTCAGGAGATGAGCTAACTAGCAGGGTAGATACGGCCCAGGAAAGCAGCAGTGGTGGGGCGGCGAGGCTGAGGAGCCATCCTGGGTGGCAGGAAGGATGGAAGAGCTAAGAAATGTCATGAGAAAACTAAGATGGGGAAGCAGGATGCAGACATGTTCAGGTGGGTACAGTACAAACTCAGGAAAGAATACAGGAAGGGGGTGAGAAGGAATCTCTACAGAAACCATAACCTTGGATGTCCCAGCAGTAAAGAAAGATGGAAGCCCAGAATGAAAAGGCTCCTAAGAATGCCAGACTGATAAGGTGGGACCCACACCTACTAGACACATTGTGTTTGATGTCATTAGATTTCTCCAAAAATAGAAAGTTCTAATAGCTTCTAGGCAGAATCAATTACAAAGGCACAGCATTAAGACAAAACTTTCCCCCAAAGTGATACTGAGGCAAAATGACTAGAAGCCATAGATAGATAGATAAATTATATATAAATGTAAAGCTACACACATATATAATTTTAAGTATTTAAGGAAAAGAACTTAAACATTAGCATTTTGTATCCAACTAACAGCATCCTGAACTTCATGACCAAGAAAAAGTCTTGTAGTTGCCATGTGCCTCAATTTATATATTTGTAATATTGAAATAATAATAGTATAGACCTCACAGGATTATTGCAGGATAAAATGAATTCACACACACACACACACACACACACACACACACACGAGTGAAGTCACAATAAGTTAAGCCTTCCAGGCCTTAGAAGGTTTACCCATAAACACCCTTGAGGAAAGCATGTTGCTAAGAAATCCAGGGTACACCACAGGATACATGTGAAGGGTAAAAGTAAAGTTCACGGTAGACTTTAAAAACTGAATGGCAGAAATGAAAAAGTACATTCATCAAAATTCTGAACAAGAAAAAAAATCCTGAACTAGGCGAGGGGGCATGGGAGGATTAGATGAACTCTAGATAGGGCAAAAGGGAGGGAAGGGAAGGGAGGAGGCATGGGGAGAGGAAAGATGATGGAATGCTATGGTCATCACTACCCTAAGTACATGTATGAAGACACGAAGGATGTGACTCTACTTTGTGTACAACCAGAGATATGAAAAATTGTGCTCTGTATGTGTAATATGAATTGTAATGCATTCTGTCATGTAACAAATTAAAATTTAAAAAATAAATTTAAAAAACTCCTGAACTAAGATACTAGTAAACAGCCAATGTGGCTGCAGGGCATGAGGAAGACCACAGGAGAGGTGTGTCTGTGGCAGGCAGGATACAGATATTGAAAAATGTAAAAGACTGATTTGATGGATAGGGAAAAGAGAATTGAGTATGGGTTTAAGGCAGTAAAAACCACCAGAAGAATAAAAAATAGAATATCATGTGGCTTTCATGTATTTTATTCATAAAAATTAAAACTTTCTCATATATAGCAAGAACTGAGGAAAAAACAAACAGGTAAATGGAAGACATTGGAATAAGGCAAAAAATATAACCCTGATAAAACTAATCACAACACAAATTAATCATTGCTCATAGGTCATGCTGTGATTAGAATGAATGAATAATCCACCAAATAAAACAAGCTGCTTCCAAACAATGAGCTTAAAAGATCATGACTGATCTGTGCACCTCCAAGATCTCTAGAGCAGCATGTACAGTGGACAGCCAGGGTGTGATCAGCCACCAAAACTGTTGTCAATAAACAGTACTTCCCCAGGTGAGTTCTAGTTTTCTAACTTGGTAACCCACTTCTAATTCCCAATGAGAGCATTCAGCATTAAAAGGGAAATTTCCAGCAGGCTGCAGTGGCACATAATTAATCCCAGTGACTGAGGCCAAGGCAGGAGGATTGCAAGTTCAAGGACGGAATGGGCCCCTGTCCCAAAAAGAGCTGGGATGTAGTTCAAGCACCTCTGGGTTCAATCCCAGTAAGGGGGTGGGCGGAGTTCTTTACACCAATTAAAGCTAGTATGGTTTATCTGAACAAAACAAAGTAAAACTACTTCTCCAACTGGGCAGCTCCCAGAACCTGAAAATGTCAACCAAAAATATGGTCCAACAACATGCATAGGGAAATAGATGTGACACACAGAAAACAAATGGCTATGGCTTAACTAGTTAATTGGCTACAGGGCCTTCTGCAACCAACCAAAAGTCTGTTACTGTGATTAAACTCAACATTGGCTTGGTCCATTGGGCCTGTGCAGGTACCCAGTCAAAAATCCATGGCCTCCCATAAGTTTTTATTTAACACTAAGGATGGTCATTCCCAGGCTTGCAGCAGCCTCTGGAGATAGCTGGGAAAACAGCCTAGGATACTGTGCAGGCTCTGTGGAGCCAGGGACAGTTAACACCTGCCAAGTTTGAGCCAAAGAATAGGAAATTAAAATATCTCTGGAGAACTGTGAATAGCAGTGTCAGTTACTCAATAAGAGGGAAAGAAGAAATCCTTCAGGGGGATCCACTCTTCTGAGCATTGAGCAGCCACATTTATCCTAACACTTGTTACCCCCTCATATGTGTGTTGCAATCTGCTGGCTGCATGGCCAGATTTCTGCTTTCTCTGGAAAACTAGAAGGATCTACCCACATTCTCATGTAGTAACAGATGTCCAGAGGTGAGGCAGTGCCTGCCCCTTGAGATGGGTCTCGTACCACTCATTTGCCATAGATCCTTCCAAACCCTCATAGCTTGCATAATGTCTAGGAAATAATTTTTGGAATAAAGGTCATCTTAGCCTGAAAAGGCTAGAATGTAGGTACTGAGATCTCAACCTTTAATCATTGCTAACTTAAATGACTATTTGAAAAGGGTTAGGAAAATGTAGAGAATGTCCTCAAAAGTTACCAGTGTTGAACAGATAAGAGATTTCCACTGATCATTTATTTAATGTCCAGTAACAGTTTCAACCAAATTTAAAGGAATGCCTATCTTTTTGGCTAAATTAATGGCATCAGCTGGAGATTTTGCATTGTTAAATCAGCCCTGAGACTGCTCCAGGTAGCTCAGATGGCTGGGTGGGGAGCTGTGGCTGTTTGCTTCCTGTCTCATCTGCTTTGGGATGCTACTGAGCTGACTAAAGGGCTCCAGGCATTCCTGACTAACATTAATTACCTACCATGCATCAGGAGCTGAAATTATCTTGTAATGGCTCTTTGCTAATAAACAAGGCAGAGCCAATTAATTTTAAAGCAAAGACTCTTATAAAATCAGTGAGCATGACCCTGGCAACCTTGGGGGCATACAAAGGGTCATGAAACAGCCAGACACATGACATTATTTCATGTAAAATTTACCTATCCTTAACGTTAGCGCTGGTAGAAGGTTTTTAGTGAAAATAGAACTAAGTTCACCCAATTCTTTAAAAAGAGCAAAAGAATGTGAATAAATATTTCACAAAAGAAGATATCCAAATGGCCAAGAAGCATATGAAAAGAGCCCTAGTAATTACTCAACCGGAAATACTAATTTGAACAGCAGTGAGATACCACTTAGCACATCTTGGAGAGGAGGTGAAGCACCTGGAACTCTCACACATTGCTGGGGAGTGATAGTTGGTTCAAACTCTGGAAATTTTACAATATTCACTAAAGTTAAAAATACATCTTTCCTGTTGGGGCTACAGCTCAGTGGCAGAGCACTTGCCTCATATGTGTGAGGCACGGGGTTCAAGCCTTAGCACCACACACAAAAAAAATAAATAAATAAAGGCATTCTGTCCATTTACACCTACAAAAAATTTTTTAAAAATACATTTCGTGCTGAGGTTGTGGTTCAGTGGTAGAGTGCTTGCCTCGCATGTGTGAGACCCTGGATTTTATCCTCAGCACCACATAAAAATAAATAAGTGAAATAAAGGTATTGTGTCCAACTACAACTAAAAAATATTAAAAAAATACATTTCTCCAAAGATCTAGCAAATCTAATCGTAGGTGTATATGCCAGAAAAATAAGTGCATATTTTCACTAAAAGACATAAGTTGGGCTGGGGATGTGGCTCAAGCGGTAGCGCGCTCGCCTGGCATGCGTGCGGCCCGGGTTCGATCCTCAGCACCACATAGAAACAAAGATGTTGTGTCTGCCAAAAAACTAAAAAATAAATAAATATTAAAAAATTCTCTCTCTCTCTCTCTCTCTCTCTCTCTCTCTCTCTCTCTTAAAAAAAGACATAAGTTATAAGCAGCTTTGTTCATAGTTGTCCAAAAATTGTAAAACAAACAAGGTAATAAGGTCATATTGAGGAACATTACACACCAATAATAAGGAAACAGCAACAAGGATAAAGCTCAAAGACATGTTGAATGAAAGAAGTCAGACATGTACGTGAAATCCAAGAACAAATAAAGATAACCAATGTAAATAAAGTCAGGGGCTGGGGTTGTCGCTTAGAGGTACAGCACTGCCTAGCATGTGTGAGGCACTGGGTTTGATTCTCAGCACCACATATAAATTAAAAAAAAAAATCGGGGTTGGTCACTTGGGGAGAAGAATGACCTGGAAGGGGCTCGGCAAAACTTAAGGGGGCATCGAGAATGTTCTGAAACTTCGCCTGGATCATGTTTACACAGGTGTAGACATAATGTAAAAATTCATTGAGCTGCACAGTTATATGGAGCAGGCACTTTACTCCATGCAAACTATACCTCAGTGAGAAAACACAAAAAGTGAAAATAAAAATGCAGCTGGTCAATACTAAATGGAGAGAATCTGGCCTCGTGCCCTATTCCAGGCTACCTCCTAATCCACACTCCGAACAGATGTCCTAGTGGCCGGAACTGCTGGCAGCCCTGTGGCTAACTTAGGGCACCACATCTTCACATGCTTTATCACCACATTTTACACATGAGAAAAGAGGCTCAGGGAGGTGAGGTGACTCACATATCCAAAGACATATAGCTGTCCTGAACACAGGCTGCTGAACCCAGAGTCTAATTTCTTAACCCCACCCAATGCCTTGCTGCACAAAGAACCCACACGCCTGCTGACTGAATGGATGATAATAGCAACCAGACTCTCACCTCCTTGGCTTCATTCTGTGCTTTCATATTTTCGGCAATATATTTGACACTTTGAATTGCTTCTTTGATTTCTGGTGACAGAGCAGAGAGGGACAACACAGCATCAACAGATTCGGAACTGGAGCTTCTAGTGAGGTTTGCGCTGAAATTTGAGATTTTGATCCTGCGGTGGTGGCAGTAACCACACATCCCATCTTGGCAGGGGTAGCCTTCCTTGCACCCTTTGGATTCTGTGCGGCTGAAACAATTCAGATTTGAGAGCTCGGCACTGTAGAAGGGCCTTGGCTTCTGAGTGTTTTCTTCATTGCTGGCCGGCCTGGTCATGAACATGACCCTAGGGAGCAAGTTCAAGAATACCGTCTTCACCCAGGTGGGCATTGTGTGCGTGGTTGGGGTTCTGTAATGCACGTTGAGCACGAAGACTGTGATGACAATGGACAAGGTGACGAAAATCATGGTGAACAGGAGGTACTCCCCGATCAAGGGGATGACCAGGGAGGTGGATGGGATGGTCTCAGTGATCACCAGTAGAAACACGGTCAAGGAGAGAAGGACAGAGATGCAGAGTGTCACCTTCTCTCCGCAGTCGGAGGGCAGGTAGAAGACGAGCACAGTGAGGAAGGAAATGAGGAGGCAGGGGATGATGAGGTTGATGGTGTAGAACAAGGGCAGGCGCCGGATGTACAGAGAGTATGTGATGTCCTGGTAGATCTCCTCGCAGCAGTTGTACTTGATGTCATGTTTGTAACCTGGGGCTTTGATGATGGCCCACTCACCACTCTCCCAGTAGTCCTTGAGGTTCATGGAGGAGCCAATCAAGACTAGGTCGATTTTCGCCTTATCGTAGGACCAGGAACCGAACTTCATGGTGCAGTTTTGGTAATCAAATGGGAAGTAGGTCACATCAATTTTGCACGAGCTCTTGAAGATGGCTGGAGGTATCCAAGTCACTTCACCTGTGTGCTTGAGTAAGGCTTTGGTTTTGTCATCCACCTGGAAATCCCCAACAGCACTGCAAAGGAAAAGAGGAGCATGGTGTCATGCTCACCACCCCAGGGTCATCCAGCCCAGCTTTTCATGCTGCCAGCAGGTAAAGTAGTGGTTTGTAAAACTGGAATGTGAGAGCTAAAAGTGCCATGAAAGGTCACCTAGTTCATTTACTGGTGGATAAAATGAGTCCCAGACCTCCTCCCAACACACAGTCTGTCATATTCCTTGACCCTTGGGCACATCACCAGTTTATTACACAACATAAAATTCCCAACCTAGGATGGTTACAGAGACACCCAAATGCCAGACCTCCCCATCCCTGCTTAATTTAAAAAAATGGGACGAAAGTCATTGACCTGGAGGCAGGTGTTCAAGCAGTATATATTTGCTATCTGTTGTCCCTGTGGTCTGGACCTTTTTAGAATCTTGTTCATTCTCCACTGGGCGCCTAGTGTGTGTGTGTAACCAGATGGTAGGCTGAAAGGGGTTGCACAGACACCGTGGAAGCCCATTACCACTAAACTGAACCCTATTTTATTTCCAGAACCTACCTGCAAATCCTGATCCTACTATTCACCACACTGCCCATTCCTCCCAACATTATTCCACAGTAGATGATCGTGTCTTCTGATTCCTTGTCTTTCATATTCAGCGTAAGAGTCCTTTGCCTTCTCTTTCCCTCTCTGCCCCCACTTACTCTCCATGTTTTTCTTCCTTTCTTTAAGCTATGTGCACACACACACACACCCTTTTTTGTTTCTGCACATAGATACACATTCTTTCTTAGAGTTATGTTGTTACAAGCTGATTTTTTCAGCAGGAGATCTGATGATAGGCTCAATACCCTGTAGCATTCCATTGCAACAGCCAGATGATGTCATCTGACAGTAAGGCCGGATGGTCCTCACAATGTCCCTCCCCACTGAAGGCTCTTACATTTCCTTAGATCAGCCCTTTTCTATTTCTTAGCATTCCAGCATTTGAAGGTGTTTGTATCTTTCACATCCCTTTACTGGTACATGAAAAGCTGCAAGACAATTATAGAATCGAAACATTCAGGGATGTCCTTGTGTGACTGTTATTGGAGAAGAACCTGTGAAAACTAAATGGGAACATTCCAGTGCACATCTTTCCTCCCTGCTAGTCTCTGGGCCTCCCACCCTCACATCCCTTGTTTGAGAAGACAATTATTGCACTGAAGACTCAATGCCAAAGCCCTGCCCACCTTCACTCCAGCTGGCTGGTTTGCCCTGCTGGGTTTATATGTTCTTAGCTTCCCTTCCCTCTTCCAGCTCCTGGCTCCAGGCAGATGGGAGAGGGTTGGGCAGTGGGGTGGGGTGCCATGGGTGCTAACATGGGCTAAGTTCTCCAAATGGACTTAGCCCATGTTAGCACTCATGGCACTCTGAGCTGGGCTAAGCAGAAGGCTAGAAAGACCCACAGAAAGACAGAGGCCTCCTGGATCCATAAAATGTCAGGGAAATAAGGGATCTGTGTAGAGGATCTAGTCCAGGGGTTGGCAAATTCTGGCCCACAGGCCTGTCACCTATTTCCACAAATACATTCTGTTTGGACAAAGCTACTTCTGTTTGTTTTTTAATGTCTACAGCCATTTTGAGCTATAAGGCAAAGCTGAATAGCTGTGACAGAAGCTCTATGACCCACAAAATCTAAAATATTTTCCTCTTTGGACTTCACAGAGTTGACCCATCCCAGCTGTAATCTAATCCTTTCATTTTACTGAAGAGGAAACTGAGGGTCAGAGAACAAAAATGATTTGCTCAAAGTCCATAGAGTTTGTGGACAGAGCCTTGGCCATTCAGAACTTCTGTTCTTAAGCAAGGACTCATCAAAGTATGTGTGTCCAAAGAACAAACACCAGAGATATGTTTGCCCTGGTTGCTAGTACTCATTTTTGCTCATTTCTGGGGATCTTGGCCATGGTTACTGCCTAAAGATGCCCCTGGCTGTGTGTACTCAGGTCAGAAGGCCTGTTTGCTGCTTGGGGCATATCAACTGTCGTATCTATACCACTGAGAGAGAAGACAAGGACCCAGCTGGGGACTGGGGTCTCGCATAGCACCAGCTAAACAGAGAGCACCTGGTAAATATCTGTTGACTGAATGAATGACCAAAAAAATAAATGAAGATCTCACCCCTGGCAGAGCCCAAGAGTGAGATGGCCGACAGCAAGAGACAGCAGAAGCAGGAGGATCTGAGCTGACTTAACTGCCAAACCATGTGAGTTAGTTGAAAAAATAGAAGGCAGTGTGAGTAAACGATGAGCTGAGGTGTTCCTTCAATATAAGGGAAGATTAAGGAGGTAAGTGGGGCCAGGGTAGGAGAAAAACCAAGATGGTGGAGGTTTTTGCAATCTCCAAATTCCCTAAAAAACCTGGACAATTAGGATGGCAAAGGAACAAACCTGTGGATCACACTGTCAGCAGACAGGTTTAAGGGCAACCCTCGAACCTGAGAATATGAGGGTAGGGGTCAGACTACTACGTGACCCAGGGGGCCCATGTGGGACTAGCTGCTGGGAGGAAGTACCTGAGAGAAGAGAAAAGAAATCTCCAAGAAGTGTCTGCCCCCACAAAGAAAAGGACCTACTCTGTGTTGAACCCTCAGCAAGGGGACAGTAAAACAGAGGGTAAGAACAATTTATGGTTCCATAGGTTCCAATTTGTGGATAAGAACAATAACAAAGACCATAGGAATTCACTTAGGGTCTGAAGAGAAGTTGGGGCTGGCAGGGCTTGAGAGAATCTCAGAAATAAGCCCCCAAATTCAGAGGC